CCCGCCCGCCCGCGTCACCCGCCCAGTCGCCGCGGCAACGGCCCGGCGAGCGCCGCGCGGCCCCACGCGCCATCAGGAGCGGCGAACACGCCATCGCGCCATGGGCCGTCCGCCAATGGGGTGCCGCGCTCCCCGCCCCGCGCCCTCTGATTGGGCGGCTTGGGGAGCGCTGCCACCACCTCCCGGGCACGCCCCCGGCCGCGCTCAGGGCGCGCCCCGCCGCCGCGTTCGGGTTAGGGCCTAGGCCAGGGCCCCTAAGCGCCTCCGATAGCGCCCGCTGGTACCGCGCTTTGCCGAGGCACTAAAGGCGTGGACATTCCCGCTCCCGCTTGTGGGAAGTAGCGGTGCCCCTGACTCCCTGGGGAAGCGGTGGGGGGAAGGCAAAGACATAGTTATATATTTGTGGCTTTCGGCCAGAGAGGAAGTGCAGTTTTTAGTTTACGAAGCGTAGGAAGCTCTGAGAGACCCACCAGGACGCGTTCGTGTGTAATCTGTGCTAGGTGATCTTTAGATGGTCTCCAGAGGTCCCTTCCATCCCTAGCGATTGCGTGGTTCTCTTGGGCAGCGAGTGACGTGCCTGCAAAACAGCACTGCAGGGCGCCAGGGGCCGTTCCTGTTCCTGCGGCTGAGCATGCTCAACTGCAATACAGATACCTGCACCGGGTGTGGCAGCGGATCATCCGCGCCCGGCTTTCCCCAGACTGCATCTCACATGTGCCGTCTCGCCTGGAAATATTTCTAGTAGCTCCACATGGCATTGCGCCGCGAAACATTAATGTGAACCCCAAAAAAGGAAGTGCTGATGAAAAGGTTTGTGAACAACTCCACCCAAAGTAGTTGTGAGTGATGAAATCGTGCCAGCCCTTTTAACCTGTAAATACACTTTTCATTCTCGTCTTCGATAAGATGTTTCTAAATCTTAATAATTTACTGCTGCATTTCCATCTCCCCATATAGCTTCTTTAGTGGTTTTTTTTTTTTTTTTTTTCCGAGTATCTCACCATTAGCTGAAAAGTGTAAAGTATTAGCAGTGAGATTTCTGGACTTTTTGTTAATGCGTGCACCAATTGCTGTAACTGCATATGCATGTGATTAAAACAAAGCAAAACAGCAATTCATACAGCTTCAACAATTATATGTAATTCACATACCATTTAAGATGACCTTTAGTATTTCTGCTCTGTTTTCCACTTTTTCCATAGACATGATTTGTCAAATACTAAAAACTCTAATTTACCAAGGTCGCTGGGAGCAGGCGTCACCATGGTGATTTGGGGTCTGTAGTCTCTGCAAGTACGTGTCACCACTGACATTGAGGTCTCTGCCTCCAGCCTGGCCGTGTGCTGGGAGTGGCCTCGGGGGGCAGCGCTGCCCCACTGCCCAGGAGATGGCAGGCAAAGCTGAGCCAGAGCGGCTCTGCCCGAGGAAAACGCTGTTGTAATTGACAGGCGACCACTGAAGAGTGCTACTGCAAATGCTGAAAATACTGTCAACTAATAATTTGGTTATCTCAAACTTGTTCCCACTCATGAGCACATGAACCTGCAACTTAACCATGGCAGAGAAGTGTTGCCAGTTTAGGGACTCTCTAAACACAGACACAGAACGTAGTTTAGAAAGGAGACATTGTTTATTCTGTGCAGGGTACAAGGTGGAGTTTTCCACAAATAAAGCACACCAATCCTTGAAACTTTGCACTATATACGTGTGTGTGTGTATATATATATATATATATATATATATATATATATATAAGCAAACATATAAATCACAGATCACTGGTTACAAGTTACTTAGTTCTCTTATTAAATAGTATTCTACCTTTTGGTTGAATGATTCTCTTGTTTCTCATGCTAATGTTTCTGCATGCTCACCGTTCTCAAGCAGGAGGATTTCTTGAGATGGTGGTTCGTGAGTTAGTGCTCCAAATCTCTCACTGCAAGACTTAAGAGCCCATGAATTGGCACTGATCCATTGCATACAAACAGCTCCTGTGGCTCCAGACAGGTGACAGGAGGCACAGCAGTAGCCAACAAGTCAACAGGAACTTTTTGTCAGGACCTGTAGTGATAGGACAAGGAGCAATGGGTACAAATTGACAGAAAGAGAATTTAGGTTAGATATTAGGAAGAAAGAGTTCCTGTGAGGGTGGTGAGACATTGGAACAGGTTGCCCAGGGAGGCTGTGGATGCTCTGACACCGGCTGTGTTCAAAGCCACGTTGGACAAGGCCCCGAGCAACCTGGTCTAGTGGGAAGTGTCCCTGCCCATGGCAGAGGGAGTTGAGCCTAGATGAATTTTAAGGTCCCTTCCAACCCCTTAACATTCCATGACTCTAAGACCCCAGACTATGCAATCAGAACCCAAGTAATCCTTCATTCAGAGTCCCCCTTTGAGGCTGTCTGGCCTTTTTCACTGGTAAGACAAGACACTGTTCCGCAACCTCCTTCTCACACTCGGTAACTCTCTGGGCAACGACCATTTCTGACTCTTGAGATGCCAACGTCAGAAGCGCACACACTCGGAGAAGTGAGCCCGATCTGACCACACACAGCACGGTGCCCTGGGACACTGTGCTGCTGGCGAGCGCTGAGAGCCCGGTGCCACCCGAGGGGCAGAGAGAGCTGGCCACAAGATGGCGGCCGCCGCTGAGGGGGCAGGGCGGCTGCCCGAGGAGGCGCCGAGGGAACGGAGCGGCCGCACCATGGGGCCCCGGGCGAGCGGCGGCGACAGCGACACGGACAGCGACGAGACTGTCGTGGAGGGCTCTGTACCGGAGAGTGATGTGGAGGAAGAGGAGTTTTGTAGGAGAAGGTGGTAATGCGGTGTGGCTGGGACGGCACCCGCCCACCTGCCTGCGTGAGGGCGGTAGCTGAGGGGGCCACTCCCGAACTGAGAGTCTTCTCCGTCTCCTTCTCCTCTCTGTTTTGTTGTTGTTTTTTTTTTTGTTTTGTTTTTTTTTTTTTTGTTTGTTTTGTTTTGTTTTGGTTTTTTTTGTTTGGTTTGTTTTTTGTTTTCTCCCCTCTGTTCAGAGCCGCTTTAAATGCTCCTGGACCCAGCATTTCTTAGCTCTGCAAATGGCTGCAAATATTTTACACACCTTGTGTGCCTCGGAGCTTATGTCCCCGGACCCACCATTTTAGTAACATTATAGTCAACAGAAGTGAAACGTCCCAGAAAACAACTCGGAGAAAATAAACACTATTAAATACAGTTCGTGCTAATTCTGTTTCCCTGCAGCTTTGCATTGATGTCATTTTCATGTCATTATGTCTTGTATCCTTTAAGAAATAGCAGGGATTTGAAACCACATGCAGATCTTTATGATGCCTTTGTGGCACGATAGTTCTTGGAAATACTTAAAGCTCCGAGGTGCCTCCCTAGTTATGGTTTTCTATGCAGAAAATCACATTACATGCCTTGAGTTTGAGTTTGTTTTACTGTTTGTGTCAGCATTCGCCTGGGCGTGTCTCCACGGCAGAGGCTGGGATGGGTGCTTTCAGATGCCCTTTGAGTTTATAGGACTGTAATACTTAAAACTCCTTAACGACCTTTTGTTTTATTTATTTTGCAAAGGTTGGCTTTTCTTAACAAGGATATTGCTTTAACAACTGAGATAAGTATTAATGAAGGTAGGACAGATTCTTTTTTCAGTCTGTGGTGGCTTTTTTTGTCCGTAAACTGTTGCTTTGGGTTTTGCTTGAGTCCATGTTTAAACTTGGGTGTTGCATGAAGTTCATGTTTAGGAACTGTGTGCTCTTTGATTATATTCCTAATTGTAGCTCATATTTTAAAGGATTCTTCATCATATTTTTAATATTTGATCAGATTTCCTGTTGAGTTCTCTCTGTTCTTCTTGTGCACTGTGTCTGAGAATGCCTGGTTTGGGAAGTGTTGGAGCTGTATATAAGGAGATCAGTTTTATTTACATGTATGTATTCTTGTGTATGTGTTTGTGCAGAATAAAATAAATGGATTCTATATGCATAACAGTTGTATGTAGCTCTAGGTGCTTATGGTATTTTTAAAACCCCAGTAATATTGTTAGTATATCCGTTCTATTTAACGTAAAAAATTTGAGTAGGGATATTTCAGTGCATTATGTTTAGTGTATCATTAAATACTTTCAGCACGAATGAATGCACACTCCTTTAAGATCTTAAAATATTCCCTAATAACTCCCGTAGAGCATGCTACATAAGCAAGCATGTTTTGGTTACATAATAGTTTCATATTACTTCCTTGACATTTTTATATGTTCCATTTGACTTGCATCCTATAGGTTTTATTTCAGTGATATTTCAGACTGAGAGTACTTTAAGTGACACAACCAGATTTGGTTGTGTTTATCTTTTTGCCAGTTTGATGATCTGAGTGAGCCATAATTTTTTATCAACCTGCTCTGAGTTAATACAAATCTTACCTTTGAAATCTGCAGAAACTCCAATGGCTGTGATTTCCTAGTGCTGAACCTCTTATAGTTGCTTAATAATCTTAAGTGTGGAGAGAAGCATCATCCCATTTTGAACTTCCCTCTGGTTGTCCACTTTTAACTAAATCCTTGACACCTTCAACATACATGCGGCATGTCTGTTTGACTGTGTTGAGTTTGTGGAGTACGCATTTGTCTGACAGTTGTGTGGGGAGTTTTTGTCTCTGCAACTGTAATTTTTATTATATTTTTAGTGTTCTGTCTGAATCATATTATATTTAGGAAGTTTGAATTAGAATTTCATCATTCACAGTTTTGTGCATACTTGTGTAGTAGTAATTTGTTGATGAGATACACAGTAAAAATATTAATTTGATTAGTGTTTTATTAGTGTCAGTAACAACATCTTTTGCATATGCTTGAAAACAACAGTTTTCAAGCATAAGGTCCAAACCTAAGGGTTTCTCTCTTTTTAAACTTTTTTGAGAGAAGGTCATAATTTGTATAGTCATTCAAGAAATGATGTCATCTAGGAGTACAAGTATATTTTAGTCATATGGATCAGACAGGTTACCAAAATTGCAGTTATTAGTTTAAAAAATAATAGCAAAGACCTAATCTCCAATGCAAAATCAGGGATGGTCCTGGAACACTAAATGAAATAAATTTCCACTGCTGACTTGTTTTATTAATTTCTATTTTGTTAATGTAAATTCAAAATCTAGTGTGAAAGACTATATAGCCAGTCAAGTTATTGCATATCAAAAGTTTTGATGCATGTAGCTCAGCTATTGAGTTGTGTAAAAAGTTACGGAATTGTGGAAAATTACATAGAAATTAAGATAATCAAAATTTTAATTACTGAGGATTTTTTTTGTTTGTTTTTTTTTCTAGGAGCTTTTTCTCCAGAAATCTGTTTTATACAGAAATTTGGTGACCACACATATTATCATAAGGCGGAACAGATGAAACCAGTAAGTCCACCAGTGGTAATGTCTTCTCTAAGCATATCTAATGATTAGCTATTGATAAACCCGCTGGGTGTCCCCTTGAGTAGGCCTGGTGGTTTACAGCTGAATTGAACTTCATCTTGTCACCTGTGTAGCACATAGTCTTCAGGAATGTTTCAGAGTGTCTTCTCTGGTATTTCATGAAATTATAACCTTTTATATTTGAGGAATGAGCCCAGGACAAAGATGAAGAAGTTGTGGAGCACAAACTTTTTGATATGTTCCTTTCAGGAGCTGAAGGGTAATCATCTGCGTTGACTGTGCCAGAATACATGCGGGGTTACTCATTATGAGATTAGCTGTGATCCAATGGTTGATCAATTGCTTCTTTCAAAAGGAAGGAGATAATAACCCAAAATGCAGAATAAAATGTCTGCTTGCATGATGATGTGGTAATTATTTTACTCTGTGGATAATTCTGCATTCCCTAATCTGCTAATTAGCCTACCTTTTAATGTATTTACCATTGTTGGTAGCTAGCCCATAAACTCCTATTCAGTTGAGCAATTAGCTTTCCACCTGCATGTGGCAGGGTCATGAAACAATTAGAGATAAACAGGTTCTCTGCTTTTAACTGTGACTGTTACACTGTCTTTAGCCTGGATTCACCAATCCAAAGCCTACAGTCTGTGTATCCTTAATCTGGTAAAAGTGAGTTTTTCTAAAAAAAGCTAGACTGCTTTCTTGATGACAAAAGGTACATTGAAAAAATACATGTTTTCTACTGAAGTAAATTGTTTTACAGCTTATTCTAGAATTGCAAATAATTTTTTTCTCAACTGACAGTGTGAGAAACAGTGAACAAAATCCAAAAGATTCTGTTATTTCAGAAACTTTTCTCCATAACTTTATTTTGCTCCTTGCATGTCTGAGGGTTGTCTTGACTGAAGTTTGTAGTTATTTTCTAAGGATGAAGGGAATAAGAGAAGTACACATTTGCTCTTTCCTTTCCCCTCTTGGAGATGATGTGACTAGCTGCTTTGTAACCTTAACCTTTGGCTTCCTGGTTCTCACCAGATTAGCCATTCCCAAGTCTAAGGACAGATGCCCAGTCCACTGAAAAAGTCAGAAAAGCAAAGAAACCTAGTACTTCTCACCAAATAGTTTGGCTAATTCTTAGTATTTTTGTTTTGGTGAAACCTGTATAGCAAGACACTGGCAGCTTGGTCATGCACAGCTTGGGGGCAGTTTAAAATGTAAAGTTTTTACTGAATACTTTAAGAAGTGGTCTTGGCCTGTTGTCTTTGATACCTACATGTGTACATTGCACCAATGTGGCTCTTCAACCACTTGAAAAGCCAGCATGGAATGTGCTATCATAGAAGCTTTCCTTCTAGTTTGTCCTCAGAAATTATCATGTATGAATGCAGCATATATGATTGCAGCATGTGATGTGATATGAGTCCGTGCAGAGTGAATGGCTGTGAATGTTTTTAGGAAAAGTAACATCTGTTCCAGTTGTTCCAGAGAGTCTTAGCTTCTTTTGTACTTCAGATGGGTTGTGGGAGACTTAAGATATGAAGTCGTGTCTTTGATTCCATAATGGAAAAAACTGTAATTAAGAATTTTCATTTACCAGAGATGCAGTAGACATATATATATATATAGATTTTGTAGGATTCAGGTTCTTTTCAACAAGTCATTTTCATTATCTGTTAACATGGTATTCTATAGCTTGTTCAGGCAGGTGTAATGATTGTAAGTTTGTGCTTTCCCTTTTTTTATATTTTTTTTTCCTTACACTGTTTTGTGAAAAGCACCAAAAGTTGTTAGGTAACACCTAACAGCTTTTAAGCATCAGTCTTTTTTTGAAAAACATCCAGAGTCCCCTCATATATAAATTTAAGTGTTCAAGTGAGAAAAATTACCAAGATTTTGCAGGGATTTCTTCACCAAAAATGAGGTCAGGATGAAAGGGTGTTTCCAGTACTTCAGTCAGTGGTCAGAAATACAGTATGTGTAATGTACGTGGTTTGAGAACATCTCTCAACCAGTGACCAATACACTGATTTCGCTTAGAACCTAATTTTTAGCAGACAAAACAGCTTCTTCATCTGAGTTGTGGTGTTAGTTTGCTGACATTTTAAAGCACTTCTCTGAGCAATGTTATCCAGTTAGAGAGGTTTAGTAGCTGCTCTGGTATTCTCCTAACCTTGCTTGATCTCTGGATCATGTTCTGTATAAATATTCAGGCTGACTCGCCTTAAGGGTCTATTTAAGCAAAATAAATAACTTTCTGCAAACTATCTCATTGCCATGTTTTGGAATTACATCAGTCAGTAATTGTTGCACAAACTAAAGAATCTGTTCTGTTCCTGGGAGCCTTTTAGCAGTCCTTGCTACTGGTAAATTTCTATGTCCTGCTCCTGAAGCAGTTGTTAAGGTGTTTGTTCTTGCTGTGTGGCTGGTACCTTGTGTAAGCCAGAGAAGTTGTCACTTAGTGTCCACACCGAGGTGCTCTTAGAGTCGTCTAGTGCTGTTAATGATGTCCACTGTAAGTCAATGATTTGTTTAAAATTGCAGCCAGTGTGTGCATAGTCCACTAGTAATACCCAGTCTCAGCTAATTGGTGAGAGAACCATTCTGCAGTTCACTTGAATATCTTAATCATTCCTAGTTTGCCTTAGACTTTGTATAAAGGCTCCTTTTTCCATAGTGAGGGAGATCACTGCATTTTTGGCAAAGGTATGAAAAAAAGATCCAAGGTCTTTGTAATAAGGAGTTGGAATTTGGCTCCTGCTGTGACATCAGTGCTCTCCTTACCCACCTGCTCTTTCCTGTGTTGGTTTGTGGCAGCTCTGCCACTTAGAACTGGCTGATGTGCAAGTCTTGAAGTTCCTTAAATACTGTATTTATAGGGATATTGAGAGCAGTATAGTAAACATCACAGTCTTTGGAACAGCACCCTGTCTTATTTAATGAAAAAGTTATCAAAGAAGGATTGAAACTGTGAGTTGAAATTAACTTACCTTGTGTTTTGGTCCTTTGATGTATAAAACATCTTAAGTTTGGAGCAATCATACCTTTCTTGCAACAGTTTGTTTTCCTTGTGGGTGAATGTTTTCTTCTATAGTCTTGATTTATTTTTAACCCTTTTGTCAAACAGTAAAAAAAAAGGTTTAAGCGGAATGCTTTTGTATCTTAGTAGAAATGTATGTAATAATTGGATCTAAGAATTCCATTTCCCAACTAAATTACAGAAGGAAGAAGATAAGCCTGCAATAAAACTGAGAAGATAAAAAGTTAAGTACTTACTAACTTGTTAAGCTTTTTCTTCTTCCAGGTACTTCAAGAGGCATACACATCTGACCAGTCTCAATCCCTACTGAAGTGAGTAAAGTACATTACATAGGAATTCCAGTCAGGCATAATGTAATTAAATAATCCTGTTACATACTTCTGTTTGTATGTTATTTTATTTCCAGTGTTCTATTAAGAAACAGTTTTCTTGTTTGCTTAGTGAAGGATCTGTATTTATGTCAGCAGTAGTTCATTGTCCAATATGGATCAAGCTGTACTTGGATTTATTTTTGTTGGGGATACTACCTTAAATGGTTTAAGAACATAACCAACAAGAATAACGGAACTTGGGGAAAAGCATTAGACAGATAAAAACTTGTAATAAATAATATTAGGCTTTTTGTTCCTGGAAACTATGGAAGATAGATTTATAACAGAAATATAGAAAGAAGTAATAAAGAATAGAAAAGGCCATTTTTTTTCACTTAGAGAACAAATATTTCAACATTGCTAGCTCCACACAGGAAATCCAGAAGTCTTATTTATTGCATGTCCTTGTAAAGAAAAGTACACCTCTGAAATAACTGCAGCTGTTTCCCCAGATAGTAGCCAATTCAAAGTACTGTAAAAATGTTCCTAAGATGAGCAGATTACAATTCTTTAAGAATTTTTTATTGTATTATTTAATCCTAGGGATTGGATAAACCATTCATCACCTACTGAAAATATTTCTCAGCCTCGTTTTTCATTAAATTCTGCAGCAGAAGAAGAGCAGAATAATTCTGTAGGTATGTTGTATTTGTACAAAACTAAGAGTTGCTCCAGCTGTGGCAAAATCATTTGAGAAAATAATTTGATAAGCTGAAGATGAGTATCCATGTAAGTTTACACAGAATCTGACTATACGTGTTTTTTACAACAGTTGTTCAGTTTTTGTAGTCATGGACTGCAAGTTCTGTTTTTGTAAGTACTGTGTTAGGATTGTTGGAAGAAATATCTGTATTCTCATGCCAGTATTAAAATTATTTAATTGCTGTGGAGTTTTCTGACGAGGGTTACAGGCCACATGGTGCTTAAATACCTTATAGATGTGTAAGGTAAAAAGGTCATGGAGGGTTCCTACTTGCTTCTTTCTAACATACCCAAGAATCAGAGGCATCTGTAAGAAAAGAGTAACAAAAATGCTACTGTTCCTCAGGTCTGTATGGCATGTGCTGCTAAATAAGTTGTACTTCCATTCCTCAGTGTTCCCAAAAGTGCAGGACTAACCCATCTGCTTTGCTGTCTTCCACTTGAGTTTATTTTTGGCAATCCAACAGAAAAACATTCATTTTATTTCTGATTAGGAAATTGCGAGAGAGTCACATGAATGTTGAAACAAGGTGATGAGATCAGGGGGTTTGGGATCATCGTTATCCAGAGGCAGTAAGTTATTGGATTGTTTCAGCAGTATTGTCTAACTGCACTGTAATTAGAGAGGGCAGAGGCTAGGTCTTGTCATGTGAAATGGGTGGCAATCCCATCTGCTGATAGTCTTTGGAAACACAGGACTCTAAACTACAGTGAAGAAATGTGACAAAATAGCTCTGGCATATTATTTGGTTACTAAGAGAGCCTAACCAGAGATTTTATTGTCAGTTCCCCTTAGGGGAACATGACTATAGTAATTTTTAAGGTTTGAAACTTAAGCCTTAATTAGGAAGTCATGCCATTTTTTTAGGAGATTATAAGAACTTTCAGAAGTGGAAAGTAAAACTGAACTATTTTTCTGTTCTCCTAAATTTAGATAGCAAATTGAACGGATTTCAAAAGGATTCAGAAGAAAAGGTAAGCACATAGCTGTGTACACTGACACTGAGCATGTTGAAAACAACTTTAAAGCTAAGCTTTTTTTTCTGTCTTTTCGGTAAGAACTGTAGTTACTAAGCTTGCAGTATGCAAGGGTCGAAGCATGGCAGTGAAAGTGAGGTGGGAAGGACATCATTAAGAGAGAGAATCTATAAGGGGTGTTACTTAAGCTGAAGTAATGAAGACACTTAGTAGCTTAAAATGTTCCCCACTGATGAAAGCTGTGAGACAGGCAGGAAGGACTCTGAGGAGGAAGAGGTTATCTGTAACTGTCCTTTGTTTGGGAGAGTCTTACTTATGGTCAGAAATAGGTAGTAGCGGAGTTTCTGCTGTGAAAGACTCTGCTTAATGTAGATGTCATATCATTATGACTGTACCATCTAGTCCCATTGATTTGTACCTACAAATAAAAAGTTTGAGTTCTATATAAATCAGTTTTACTTGGCATTTTTCAAGGATCCTTTTTGAGGTTTATGCCAGGGGAAAAGCAGTTCTTGGTAGAATTCATCAAAGGCTGATTTGAAACCAATGTTGATACCAAAATTGGCCAGATAGTAACTTTCTAACACAGTTGTGAATATCTGAGAACAGTCATTCTTTACTGCAGCAGTGGTTCACTTGGAGGATCCTTCACTCCACTGAGTGCCCTGAGCGTCCAGTGAACAGTGTTTATCATATACACCAATCCCACATTCATTAGCTATCCCTCCTTACTTGATGTGCTTAATTTACAATTACTTCATTTACATAATTGCACCCCTTATCAGAAGTCCTTGTGTGGTTCCTTAGGGTTTTCTTTGTGTGTTTTCAATGTCCCATGTCCTTTTTAGGTGCCTGTTCCTTGACCCCTACTTTTGAATAAGCACAGTATCATTGTTTTGCATACCTTCGTCAGGCTTGTAGAACTGAGCTGACATCCTGCTTGTGTTTTGTATGGCTTCTGTTTGTCTAAGTCACATCCTTGATCTAGTTCTCCAAGGCTGTGCTGTTCTAGTCTACTGTCCTTATCAGAGTAAAATGCTGTTCTTTTCTACTGTCCTTATTGCTCATGTCTTCCAGCAAATATGAGTGATGACAGGGTAAAATATTCCATCTCAGAACCAAGGCGAAAAAATGAAATCTCTAAGGATATTCTTTCCTGAAAAATATACCGCTATTAATAAAAAACTATAAGTTTATTAAATGAAACATTCTCATTGTACAGGGTTAGTCCCATAGAACAAACTCTAAATGCCTTGAAACAGAGATTCCCTATTATTAATAGCCTCTGGAGAATGGGCAGATTGAATGCATTGGGAGTATCTCCAGAGAAGATATTTTAGAAGGCTGGAGTAAGAAGGCTGGAAATAATCACTACAGTGGATTTTACTTTTTGGTTATTGGCTGATGTTAGCCCTAGCAAGGTCTGAGTCTTGCAGAAGGATCTTCAGTGAGATGAACCAATGACCATCACAGGCTTCCATGTATTGATTTGAACCAAGCTCAGGAGAGACACCTTGACAACCAGCAGTGAGTCACTGAGTAGTTTAGTTTTGTGTATCCCTGAAAACACAAAATCTGTAAGTTATCATCTGTGCAAAGAATTCTGACACCTCACAATTAGTCTTGCTGAGTTTTCTTGGTTTTGATGATGTAGCAGCACTGATTTCTGTTGTGGATGGTGTCTCAATAGTGGGGCCACTATTGTTCAAAATCTTCATTAGTGGCCTGGAAAATGGAGCACACAGTACCCATCAGCAAGTTCAGAGATGGTACTGGGAGAAATGACTGATAGACCAGACAGTTGTGTTGTCATTCATAGGGACCTGCAAAGATGGAAAACTGGGAGGAGAGGAATCTCATGAAATTTGTCAAAGGGAAACGCAAAGTTCTGCATTTGAGGAAAAATAACCTCAAGCACCAGTACAGCTGGGGTCTAGCTGACAGGAAAGTAGCTCTGCCAGAGAAGGACTTTAGAATCCTGGTGGACCCTCTGCTCTGCTCTTGTGGGACCCCACTGGACTACTGTGTCTGGAGTTTTGTGAACATGTCACATTTAAGGGTTGAATTTCAGTTGACTTCGGGGATTTTAGAATCTTGCAAAATTTCACACACTCTTCAACACATGCATTGAGCCTTTTTCTTGGGAAATTTGTAATACATATACATGCTGTTTATACCATAGTTCTTCAAGTAGAGAAAGTTATCACCAGTGAAGTTTTCTTTTTCCACAGTTGTTTAAAGTCTGGATGAATTAGAGAAGTGGTGTAAAAATAAAGTGTAATTCAATAAAGCAAAGTAAGAAGTAATCAGTACTTAGAAACAATTTGATGCACATGTAAAAGATAAGAAACAGCTAGCAGGTGAATAATTTTTCAAGAAAGAAACAAGGATTTATACTAGCTTGCAAACTGAACCTAAGTGTGTGCAGTTGGATTTCTGACCTTACTGTTTTATTGTGTGTGAGCTTTATCTAAATCATGTCACCAGTGGTTAAAGGTTTCTTGCATTGCCTGGTATTGCCACTTGCTGGCAGCAAGACTCCAAAAATGCATTGAAAGAGATTTTCTTGGATCCAGTATTACTAAGTACGAGCACTATTATATAGAAGTGTTATATAGAAAAAAAAAAAAAAGTTTAGGTCTCTGGAGGCATCATATTTTTTTTTTTTCTGTGGAGCATTTAAGACAGGGATAGGGGAAAAATTAGAAAAGCAATGTCTTCATGTAAGAATGGGTGCTTCTGTTTAATGTAGCTCAAAGGGATTAGAAAAACACCAGTACTGCTTTTCCAAGAACAATTATGATTTTGTGCTCTGTGTTCAGTGTAGAAACCACACCATGCAAACTTCTCAAAATCCTAAGGTTTTGGGCTGAAGTTTGTGAGACACAAATCCTCCATATCTGTATTGAATCTACATAAACACATAATCAAAAAGTTATTGTGAATGTGTTTACTTTCATTATTTCTGTGTGACAGAGATTTTTGATGACTTTTTTTTAAAGCCTTACAACATCCTCAGGTTATTTGCTATTGCCATTGGTAATGACATAACATCTTTGACTAAAACAAATTTAGTCTCTTTTGCCCTGGATTTTCACTGCTGTAGAAGTCAACAGCTGAAGTTGAAACTTCTTTTGAAATTGAGCTCTCAGTCTAACTCTTGTTAGTATATTGTATAAAGACTTTTAGTCTTCTAGATTTTGAAAAAGTTCATAATAAAATATACACACGTATATAGAAAGAGAGATGACTTCTAAAGTAAATTTTAATTAAAGGCTTTTTAGTGAGACTTGCTTTATTGTTTTTTGTAAACTTTTTAAATTTAATTTTTTAGGTATCACCAAAATTAAGTAATAAAGATTGCTGTCCAGAAATAAGCCTCTGTCTACATGATCCTGTGGAAGACATAATAACAGTTCAAGAGGAACAGACACCAGAAGATACATTTCCACCTGTTTTAGATAACTGCCACAGAACCTGTGTGACCATTATTGACACAGATAACACAGTAAAAGAGCATTCCCTTAATAATGATACAGATCTTTCACTGTCATCCCCAGGGAAGATTTTTGTGGATGTATTCACTGAACAGAATATAGAGACTAGTGAAGTTGACATCAGTGATTTGTTGAGACACCCTAGTGACTCTGAGAGTCTTAAAGTTAAAAACCCATTGCCTGACAAGTTAGAGTGTCAGGGTCATGCCTCTTCTGTCGATCCATCAGCAGCTGAGAGCAATGATGCCCTGCCCGTAGAGCTTGTGGCGCCTCTGAATGCCTTGTCAGGAGCAATGGTACAAGCTGCCATTCCTGTAGTGCCAAACGAGAGACAGCTCAACGCCAAGGAAGAGCAGCTAAATTCAGAAACCAGTGTTCTGCAGGTAGATGATGACTGTACTCAAATAACAAATGTGATGGAGTCTCGACTTGCTGCAATTCAGGTGGAAGAAATAAATGCCTTCACAGGACCGAACTCACAGAGCACAACAAATGAGCAAGTATAACCACAGTTTAATTCATATTTGAAATTTTATGTTTATCATAAAATATTACATCAAGTAGCCAAATTACTTGAAGATGGGAATCTTAGTAAAGAATAAACTAGCATCATAATTTGCATGTTTAAGTAATTTTAGTTGTTTTTGTTTTAAAAGTCCAGTATTGTATTTTGTATTTCCTGTTTGCATGTATTCATGTTACGAAAATAGCTAAGCTTGCTGGATGGGAAATCCTTGTGAAGTTAATTTATTGACTTGATCTAGTCAAATAACAAACCTAGGTGCTAACCTAGAATCAGCCTGGGTTTTTTCAGAAACTCCTAGACTACCTGTACATCTTCTGTGTCTCATGTTCTCTCCAAAACATTTTTCTGTTATTTCATTGTAGCATACCAGTATATACCAGCCAATTCCATCTCCAGGTTCCTACTGCATCCTACTGTTCTGTTTATGATACAGGCAATAGTGTGCTGTTTTCTTTTGTTGTAGTTCTCACTGCTGTAAATGCAAATGCTTTGCAAGTATTACAAACTAGATTACAGCTATGTCTTTACTATAGACTAGGAAGATTATTCAGAGGGGAATTTTACACATGTATTTAAACATGTATTTATTGTGCATAGTTCTGCCTATGCAAGACATACTGAAGACATGTGATCCTTCCTGTTGCTTCTTGTGCTGTGAAGGTGGTCTGTAACGTGTCGTTTCTATTTAGTAACACCAATGCAAAAATATGGAGAGGAGCATGAAAGAAAAGCCATAGTTTCTTCCTGTTTGGATTATAATCAGGGAAAGAGAAGGACAGATAGGAGACATAGATTTATGCTGCAGAGTATATTAAGCATCTTTTTTAAACCTGCGGCCTGATTCTGTGCTCTGTATTGTATTCAAATAGTCTGGAGCTGCAAATCAATGATCAGTCATGTAAAGCTGGGTATTTAAGGGAGTTATCAACCCACAACGGCATAAAGCATCCAAAAACTATGAGTTCTTTCTGACTTTTCCTGGTAGTATTAACTGAATATATCAGCTTGTAAATGTAGCACATTAAATGTGCCACAATGATGGCTAATTTCAAGGTGCTGAAAGGTCTGTAGGCCAGTTGTCTCAGAACCATAGCACTTTACAAAGCTTTTTCAGTGACATATTGATTTCTGAAAATTTTAGCACAGCTATGTATAGATTTACTCAAAATTGCAGTTAAAATTGAGAAGCAGAGTCTTGTGGTAATGGAGATCTCTACCCTCTTGTCAAACAGCAATCAACCTCATATTTTCTTTGTGCCTTTATCTGGTGTTCTTAAAGGCAGAAGGTAAGGAGGCAAATTACTAAGAAAAAAAACCCAGTTAATTTGTTAGTAACTATTTAATTGTGACAGTATACTGTTCACCATGGTCTTTTCTCACCCTTCTTTCTTCAGAGTATTCTTGTGGTGAAACTAGAATCCAAAAGAGGAGAGTCTGTACTGACATGTGGATTCAGTCAGGATGCTGGATATGCCAGATATTTTAGTATATGGTCTCTTATAAAGCAAGCATGGGGTTTGTTTTCTTTGAAGTGTTTTCTTCTCCTTCTCTAACCCTGCTCCCATCGCAGATGTGGATCCATAGAAAGTACAACTATGATAGTTTTCTAACATATTGTATTTGACTTTCCCCAGCTGCTGTACAACCACTAAGATTGGGAAAGACCTTTGGGATCATCAAGTCCAATTGCCCAACCATGAACCACTGTGTTTACCACTGAGCCGTGTCCCCAGGTGCCACATCCGCCTGTCTTTTGAGCATTTCCAGGGATGGTGATTCCACCACTTCCCTAGTCAGCCTGTTCCAGTCCTAGCCACGCTTCCAGTGAAAAAAGATTTCCTTATACTCAATCTAAGCCTTCTCTGGCAGTAGGACAGGCCACTTCCCCTTGTTGTATTGCTTTTACCTGGAAGAAGAGACCAACCCTCACCTCACTACAAACTCTTTTTTGGTCATTGTAGAGAACAAGTAAAGGCACTGCTGAGACTCCTTTTCCTCAGGCTAAATGACCCCAGCTCCCATGTTAACTTGCATTATCTCTTGACCCAGAGGGACCACTTCTAGGAAGGCAATTCCCTTCTTTAGTACCTCTTTGTTAAATATGTCAATCAAAAAAAAAAAAAAAATCAGTGCAGTCTCCATTTGTGTTTATATCGCAAGAAAGGACTAACCAGCTCTCCCACATCGTTGTGGAAGAATTTCTATGCATTTGTGCTGAGGGTGTGTCCTAAAAGCTTTCAGCATTACTCAAGTATTAAACTAATTAAACCCAGCTTTCAGGAGCTTGAGTGATACATGGCAGCATGTTGCAGTCACATAGCTAAAACAGTGAACAAACTCAAGCAACTCCAATTAACTGCCATGTGGTGACCTGTCTTTAGGGTGGGATTAGAGTTAAGTCTCTGGTATGCATGAATCATTTATGTTCCCCTTTGCACAATTTGGGATGAGGTGAATCTCTATCATCTCAGAGTAGCTCTTCCTCTTTACAAATGGTGGGGTAATGATGATGCCTAGTGTCATCTACTTTCCTGGCTTTTAGAAGGTTGAAGGTAAGTGAAGTGAATCTCAGCTGTAGTGGCTGTAGCTCAGGGATGGTGTATCTTTAGAAATAACTGCTCAGCTGGGAGTTACTGAACTTCAGGTGAAACATGGATCTCACCTTGTGTAAAGTTTTAGGCTTCTGCAGCAGTGAGATAGTATGGGCAATCTTAAGACATCTGAAGCATCATCTTATTTTTTAGGACAGGAGCTCATGTCCATAGGAAACTGAAATTAATCTGTTGTCATTTCAAATGTCCAGTCAAATAACTTTCAGATAGAACAACTTTTGTTTGCTGTCATCCAGCCTAGATTTATATTTTAAGTTGTGACTCTGAGTAGCCTAATTCTCTTGGTTAATTCTGCCAGGAACACATTGCATGGCATACTACTTCAGGATTGCCTTTCCTGTGGCAGCCTCTGTCTTTCATACCTGTAGAATTCCAGTTATTCACTTAAGCAATCCCTCAATTCTCTGTGGGCATACAATTTTTAAAAGAGTATTCTTGGAGCTCTTTTATATACAGCCTTTGTTTTAACTTCATGTCTACCAGTTGCTTCTAATATTTTTTTTTTTTTTGTCACAGCCTGTGGGTGGTCAGCAGAGAGAGAAAGAAGTAATATCAGATTGCTTGGATGCCACCTTTAGTGAAAAACAAACTGGTGAGGGACATTCATATTCAGTGGAGCCTGCAACATGTTGTGCAAAAACAGCCCAAACAGCATCAAGGTAAGTGAGACCTCCTCAGGAAAGTACAGAGATTGTTTCCTCTCATCACCAAATACCAGAAGAAGCAGCAGGAATGGCTCACAGAGGCAGTATAAAGAGAAACAAAGCTAAGTATTTTAAGTATGGGAAATTTATGCATAATAATTCTTAAATTATTTTTTTATATATTAATGTAATACAATGCATGTGGAGTACTCATTTGTCATTTGAATGACTGTAAATGATCAAAGGGAAAGATTTATACCCTTTATTTAAAGACCTGGGAATTAGTTGCTCTCCTGATTTACTCCTTATTCAGTGCTAAGTTAGCCTGCTATTACAGTGTTCCTTTTTAAATCAAATATGTTCAAATTCTTAGCTCTACTGTAAACATTGATTTATATAGAGAATATTTTTGTTGATTCTAAGCAAATCTCTTGTCAGTAAAATTCAGAAATCTCCTTCTGAAGACAAGCAGGATCTAGAAACTATCTTATGGCAAGAAATAATTCTGAATGAGTATGCAAAAGCTAATCAGAGGAGAAAAAGCAAGAGAATTGACAACAAACGGAGTAAGATACTCTATGTTTTTATCATGCAGATTATTATTTCAACAACTGTACTGAATCAAATATAATCATAATTTTTCCAATGTATTGTGGCATGGTTTTCTTTTAAAATACGGTATAAACATTAATTTTAATAATTAAAGCTATTGATAATTTCCCTTCTTATGTTATACCCTTATATTAGCAACCTAACAGTGAACTTGTTTGCATAAGAATCATGAGATGTTTTTCAGAATGCAATTTTTATTAGTGTTTTATATGAATAAAATAGGGGTGTACTGAAAAGGAGAAGGGAATTGTTTTTGTGCAGAGTGAAAAGGTAGATCCTGAGCTACATTTGTTTATCCTTCTGCCATTTAGTGTTCTGTATGCAAAATCATAGTCAGAGCGGTACCGTCCTCTAGAATTGACTTATACAAAACGGTTTATTCTATTTTGAGAGCCTGCTGTTGTTATCCTGTCTACAGGATTGTAGGGCCTTTACTACCACAGAGCACTCTTTTGAAGTATTTTTATTTGGAATATTCTTTGTTAGAGAGACAGATTGCTATTTTTCATCCTTTGAAGGTACATACAGAAAAGTTCTTGACCTTGCAGAGGAGTTTTGTGGGAGAATACAGAATATCCTCACTTAGGTGCTCACTCCAGCAACTTTAAGATTAGGTCTTATCTGTTGGGTTTTTTGATTTTATTTTTTGTTTAAGTCTATGCAGATAGGGTTTTTCCATTTGCTTTCAATCATTCAAATGTCTTACAAAGTTTGTAAGTATTTGAATTGAAACAGCTATGTTACCGATCTTAAAAAACATGAAGAAGTCCACCTCCAGTTAACAGGATTTAATTCTCTTTTGCAGGATTTTAATTATTCACAGTGGAAGCACCATTTTGATGAGATTTAAAGCTGAATGACTAAGTGCTCATCTATTTCAAATCAACTTGATATTTTCCACTCAATAACCAATTTACTGATTCTTTAGCATGGTTTCTGCAGAAAGAGTTGAACTGTCTATAGAGGTAGCTTTGTGGTAAACCAATGTCGCAAGCTTACCTCCCTTTCTCATCAAACTTCTTAAGAGCCCATGAGTCATCTTAGTTTGGTAATTAATTCTGAAAACTGCCCCGTAATAAGTTTTGGTTTGGGTCTGCATGTGTCACTTGTTTTGCACAAGGTCAGGCGCATGGAAAGCTCTAGGGAAGGCAAGTGTAAGTAGTGGGAAATAGATCCCTTCAAGGAAGATTTTAATGAGGTAAAGTGTAACATAAAACTGCACATGATTCTGTTTATGTCTGTGCAGTTTAATCCCTCCTGAACTGCTTGGCTGGTTTAGACCAGCTTTGACTAGTGACTGCTTGTCTTAAATGATTGACATCTTACAAGGCTGGATAGCAGAGAGAGACTGTGTTCTCAGCTGAGGGAAACCCCTATCTATTAGATTCTAAAAATCTACTCAGAGTCAAGAATTTAAGAATGTTTGGAATTAGTCCAAGCTCACAGTGTATCACAGTGCACAAAACATCAGGCTGTGTGAGTTACAGCTCTAGAAGAACTGTGGGTTTTAAGGTCTATTTCTGGTGATGCCAAATTGATTTTTGCCTTTTTTGCTTTTGTGTATTCTCTATGTTCTTTACACATATATATGTAGCTCTGCAGCCCGTTACTGTATTCGTAGTTAGTCCCATTACTTTTCCCTACCTTTTCCCTACCATGATAGGCAGAAAGACAAAACACATTCCAAAGGCTCCAGGCTGGAGGTTGTAAGCCTCTGTCCTGTCTTGGTTCTTTCTGGGAGCCAAGGTTGAAACCAGCTCTTTGAGACACATTTTCATAAACAAAGTTTAGTTCCTATCTGAGGTGGGAGGATTCAGAAGAGGGTTGAACTGCGGGGGAGTTATCTCACCAGTTACATCTCTAATTGAGGATTTTTGTCAGTTATGTTAATTTGCTAAACTTATAAAACTGTATTCACCCTGTGTGGGGATGTGCATTTTCCATATCTGCGCCTGGAGGCCTCCAATAAAGACCAGCTTTTATATTATCTCCTATATTAATATTGCCTTGAAAGTGTGTTTTTTCATTTCTAGGTTCTTTAAGGCATCACTGGCACCTGGGTGCAGTTTTAGGACCTGTGAGGCACCCCTGCTACAGCTTGTGGAGAGGAGCAATGTATATAGTCCTAGGAGTTTTTATAAGTAGATGAATTAATGGCCTAGACCTGCACTATGTTTATCTTCAAACGATTCTCCTGGTCTTTCTTCCCTTCTTTCTTCCCTCCTTGTTTTTCATCAGAGGCAGTAGCCAGGGTGCTCTTTCCCATGGTTTTAAGGGATGTTGGAATGGCAGTGCTGGTGAAGTACAGAGCAGCTCATCTGTGTATTGGAAATAATTTAAGCCAAGCTGAAAAGTGTGATGACTGCATAATGGGAGATAGTGTTTGTTTTGTTAAATACTAAGCATTAAAAGCAGTCTCTTTTAAATTTTACTTTTTACATTTAGAACTCATATTCACCTTTCATTCATTGCAGAAATGACTGAGCTGGTTGTGAAGTAATGAGAAAAGATAACCTGAGGGAGCTAATCTCAATCCTAGTGTAAATACTTGCTCACAAAGCAGAGGCTTTAAAAGATAATGAGTAAAAAAGAATGGTGGATAAATTTTACTTCTAAGAAAAGTTAAATTATTCAATAACTTACTAGTTATTGAAATGGTCACCTTATTATGGTTTGAATGCAGAATAGTGATTTTATTATCCATTGGGAAGAAACGCACCTTGCAAAAATGTCATCAGAAAAGAAAAAGTCTGAAGTTAAAACACTTCTACATACTCTTATTTCTTTGTGTTTAATTTCAGTTGGAGTTCTGTTATGAAATTCACTATGACATCTTTTATTAAATGGCCTTATTATTCAATTTGTGATTTTTTTTTGAGATTTTCATTTTTACTAGATTGATTGAACATTGAAAAGATACTTCTCTGTGCGACAGATCTTTTACATTATTTTTCAGGACGAGAAGCCTTTGGTAGGAATTCTGTAAATCCAACTTGCCCCCTTTCACTTTCAACAATCAACAGGAGGAATGTGTATGGTGAGAACTTACTACATAGAGCTGTTACTCACCAAGACATAAACCTTGTGCATAGGATAATAAAAGCTGGTGGAAATGTAAATGCTCAGGATTATGCTGGTAAGTTGCAATTGTACTAAAATTGTCTTTTCAGTACAAGTACCTGCCTATAACTAATAAAAGCATGAGTTTGTACAGTGTACAAGACTGTAGGTTGTAACTGGTCAACTGATTATTAAATTTTTATTGGTTTAAGTTAGTACTTGTTCATGGGAAAACATGTACATCTAGTTATAAAAGTATACAAGAAAAGGAAATTTTGATGGAGAAGTTAAGCACTTGAGAAAGTTACAAAGTGATGAAATTAGGTTTACATGCCTTAGTTCAATGATTCCATGCATGCTGATCACAAAGCAGTCATTAAATACAGCTGATTCAATAATCACCTTCATAGGTCTTAAAGTTGGGGGGTATGTTTTGTTCATTTCAGGGGCCAACTTGAGACGTCAAGATATAAATTTTCCTGTTAAATTTTTTAGGAACTTCGATTTCACCCTTTACATCTTGAGAGAAGTTGAGCACGGCTTTGAATTTTTGAAGTTGTGATTACTTGGTGTTTTCCATTTTTTCTTTGTCTTGGGCAGGGAAAAAAAATCTTGATAAAGAGCAGCCATCTGTTAATGTTTTGGTTCAAGCAATTTGCCTTATTCAGTTTTGTGGGTATTACTCTGTGTCAAAGACTTCACTACACCTTAATTATTACTAGGTTGTTTCAAATATAAGACTGTTGCTAATATACACTTCCCTGTCTCATCCGTTAGTCTCTGAAAAATTTCTGTAACAGAAAAAGAAAATTGTTTCAGACAGCTAGCTCTTCTAGAAAAAAATCATTCTTACAGTCTTTCCATATTGTGCTAGCAGCTAGGATTTCACAATTGTCCTGTGGGAAAGAAAAAAAAATATTCTGCAGTTATAGGCTATTGCATAACACAGGCATATAAAGGACCAGAATTAAGGTTGAAATTCTCTGTCTTCTGCAGTATATTGAGAGATAGATTGGGTCAGCAGCAAATCTCAGACTTCTACAGCAGAGGCATTTGAGCTAACAAAGTGACTTGTAATATATACTAACATGTGCTGGAAGCAGAAGAGAAAATATTTTGTTGATGGGGTTCAAAGCCCTGTGTTGACAGCTGAGAAGTGCTGTCAGTGTCGATTCAGCTGCAGCCGCAGTAGGCAAGTGTACTGAAGTGCAGTGGTTCTAGATTTTGGGGTCACAGCTGCTTCCTTTTTCTGCCTTTGTGTATTTTGCTAGGCCACCATTTTTTCATTCCCCAGACTCTGGCTGCTGGTTCTTTCGGTGCAAAAGGAGCAGAGCTGCACAAAATATCTTTTAGTTGTACTTCTTGAAGAGGTAAGAGGTTGACCTGGCTCTGCTTCTTTTGTTTCTTTTGTTTTCAGTGAGGCAGGTGTAATCAGAAAGACTTAACAGTCATGTGTCATTTTGGCATGCACTTTGATCTTCGTTTCTTGGGGTCATTGTTCCGAATATTATATTCTTCCTCTTTGTTCTTCTTTAAAGCTTCTCCCCAGTGATTATCCATATTTTATTCTAGTATTTTTTCCTTATTTCTATGCTATGGTAGTCTGCTTGCAAACCTTACAGAGTTTTTGGATCTTCTGTTATTTCTTTTGTTTTGGGGTTTTTTTCCCTCCATTTTATTTCCTGGACATCAGCATGTAGGATATGGCCAGCATATTAGAGATACTGTCTTGTGCTCTAAGTTTGAGTCTTGACTCACAGTGTCCTGAGGGATCTGAGAAACCATTACGCTGAAACTTGTGTTTCTTCTTGATTTGGAGCATGCACAGTGTCCTTGCAGACTCATGTTGCTAATCTCTAGTGATTATTAATTGAATGTGTGGCAAGTTCAGTTTTTCCAGGACTTATTATTAGATCAGGTAGAGGACACTTTTTACTGACACTTTTACATTCCCCTAAATGCAAATTTTTATTATCTCTTTAATAGATTTCATAACAAACTTGGTTACTAGGAATATACAATATTCAGGGTTGGGTTGTGTATAAAGGAGCCTCGAGAGTTTCTCTCTAGTTGAAATTAAGATAATTTTGCTTAATGGGACTGAAACAACCTTACTAAGCTTTATTAATACACATATTTAGTATGTGAATTAGGCTCTGACAAACTTCTTATAATGGAAAATTGTTGAAGATTAAGACTACCCATCAAAGTGATCTTCTGAAGGGCATGTTAGTTTCAGAGCTGGAAGTTAGGAAGTGGAAAATCCTCTGTGTGTTTCCCTTATGTCTTTCATCCTTCATGTTTAAGGACCTGATGTATGGTTATACCAAATCCAGTTGAAAGACTTACATTCTGTATTTTTCCTAAACAGCTCCTTCAGAGAGTGGAATTCATGTGATATCTTGGGCTTTTTCCATATACCTGAGTGTGAATATGAAATTTTACTAGGGATTTTTCATTTATTTGAAGACTCAAACAATTATTGGATGGCCTTACAAACATTTTTATTTGGTAATACATAATTAATGTCTTTATTTTGTCACTTCTTTCTTACTTACCCTCTTCAGCATAGCCATGTAAATAAAAGAGTGCAGTGAAAAATTACCTTGTCCTTAAAATAGTGTATATGTTTTATTCCAGGAGAAGTTACTAAAATATGGGATGAATAATTTTTATTCTCTCCTTTCATAACAGAACTATCAAATCAAAAACGAATGTTGTTACAGCAGCATCTACTTCCTCAGTTGGTGCAAATTTTGCCAAAAGCATGAGATCTCCCAACCCTCGTGATGTTCTCATAAACATTTCTTCATACATCTTACTGGAATGCATCAGTTTTTACCATTTCAATATACTCTGTGAAGTCTTCATCAGAGACAACCTAAAAATGACATAAATTTCTGGATTTTTTTTTCAACCAAAGGTGATATACATGTTTTTTTTGTAGGCTTGACTGCGCTACATATAGCAAGTGTGGAAGGCTTTTATGGGATAGCAAATCTGCTTTTGAAAGCAGGAGCTGATGTTAATGCTACACAAAAGGAGCAAATAACACCCTTGCAAGATGCAGTTAAGGAAGGCCATTATGAGGTATATTCTGAATTGAACACAAAGTATGATTTAGGAATAGAAGTTATTGTTGTTGAGTCCAGAAGGTCACATGTTATTGTACGGGGCTGGTCTTTTTAGATTATAGGTAAATTGAGGAGCTTGCAAGTCCTCTCTGCCTGGTTTCTATTCAAACCACTCCATGCTTAACTAGATTTGTCCAAAAGGAGAAATTTTTTCTAACTGTTTCAGACAATGGTTGTACTACTGAGGAGTAGATTGCTACTGTTTAATACTACTTCATTCACTGATTTTGTAATCACCCTGCAGAGTAACTTCTGATTTGAGCAGTCTTCTGGACTATTAATGACATTTTTTTCTTTATTTAGGCATCATGGATATATGGCAGGTCATCGCAGTCATGCACACCCATGTGTTAACACAGAACACAGAGGATTATGAAAACAGCCTTATATTTTGTAGGGTCTTAAACTGAACACTAACTGAATAGTCAGTTTGGTTTAATGGTAAAATTTCTTGCCAAATGCAATGTTTTCATAAGCCTGTGTCTGAATTGCAGACTCTCTTTCAGTCTAGTAGTGGTCACCTCCACCTGTCTGTGCATGTTTCTAGAGTGGCCCAAATTTGTGTAGGAGTTCTGTGTGTCCCTTTTATCTGCTGGCAGTTTTTTCTATAGATCTGCATATATGCTGCCTAATTCTTACTGATTTCCAGATTTAAAAGGGTTTTTTGGGGAGTGCCTGGTAAGTTTTGTTCCTGAACATTTGGTCTTTTTCACAACTGAGATGAAACTTTGTTTCTCCTGGAAAAGTCTCTCTGGAGCCAAGAGGAAAGGTGGACTTCTGGTTAATAAGTTTTTCTGAGACTTGAGGGCCCCAAGAATAAATTGCAGCTTGTACATCACAGACCGTTCCAGGTTCATGAAATATTTCTGATTTTTGTGGCTGTACCTAAGATACCCATGGTTGTGGATGAAGGACTCTGCATTTCTGCAAGTAATACTTAGGGGCCAGCAATTTGGATATTGGAAGAACACTGATCTCAGCTATGTCACTTGAGGCATACCATGATCATTCAGCACAGAGCTGAGTTCAAGTTGTGCAAGCTGGTATATCCAGAAAGAATGGTACTTCATGGTGGTGCTGTATTTACTCATTGCTCTGTTTACTCAGTTCACTGTAGTGGTCTGTCACATTTTATTTTGTTGGTTTTTGACTAGCAACAAAATAGCGATAGTGATTCAGTAATATGACTGTCAGTAACATTGTATTTGTAACTGTGTTTTTCAAAGCTACTTTCTCTGTGTGATGTTATTACTGTAGATTGGAAACACAATTTTTGACTACTTCATAATTTTCTGTACTTGCAATATGCAAAATCAATTTATTTCAGAAAAAATGGTAAGCTTAGAAAAGATTTTCTAGTGGTCAGGTTAAAGGGGAGAGCACCCATGTGGTGATGCTCTCAATGATCCTGTTATGGAAGAAGTGTTCTCAGTGTTACTGGTTGAAAACATCTAAAGACTTGGGACAACTTGTGAAACCAAAAAGGGCTTTTGATGCCAGCTGAACCCTTTTTATTTTCCTCTCTTGTTAGGAGAATGTATGAGTTAGGAAAACTTCATTAACAATTTTCTCATTAGCAATCTGGTTAGAAGTAATGAGAGACTTGAACAGGCAGGTGAAGAATGTGAGTCAAGTTCAGTCTGAAATTATAACAGATGCTGGAAAAATAAATATAGAGGTACAAGTAAAATCACACTAATGCTGGAAAAATATTTCAGTTACCCATAGAAATGAAGTAATCAGACTGTAAATTTCCCATGTCTAAAAAAGTATTTTGCAAAGGTCGGTGGAACATTTTGCTAGTGGCAATTTCTTGAGTAACAATAGATTCAGGCTTTATATTTGTACAAAAATCATAGTGTTGTTAGCAAGACCATCTGAATGTGTTTCGTTTGAGCAGATACATATTGTACATCAGAAATAGCTGTCAAAACTTCCCTTGCAGTCACAGGAGTCACAATAGACACATCTAGAGCACAGTTTATTTTCTCTTAAAGCTGATATCCTAAATGGATAAATTGACTCAAACCCTAAAATCACCTATTATTTTCTGCCAATTAAGAGCTGTGTGAGGATGAATCCTACCCTGTATTTTGAGAGACCTTGTTTCAATGGCATCAGGTTGATAACTGAAACAATTTATAAAAATAATAGGACTATAGGACAATGGTGCATCTAGGGGAATGCTTGGTGTGTATGAACTGAAATAAAGAGAGATTTGATTTTAGTTGCTCATGTTGTCAAGTGTAAGAGATAGAAGCCTGTACAAGGATTCTGAAAAATACTGTCAGAAAATAAATTATCTGAAAAGCTTATTTTTCTAGGTGGCAAACTTATTACTTTGGTATGGAGCTGATCCCTTATTAAAAAATCAGATGGGAAGGTGTGCATTAGAAGAAGCTTCTGACCCATCTATGATGAAACTTCTTAAAAGTTACATGGCAAAATCCAGAAGATATTCAGTAGCAGGTAGGAAAGAATTACTCTGACATATCATCACTGCTAAATGGAGAAATTTAGAACATCTGTTGAATTGTATTTCCTTAATTACTGTTAGTACCTCTATGGCCTTCATTGTCTGATGCCTTGAATTAACAGTGAGCACTCCTTGCCCTCCACAGTTGCTGTATATTGACAAAGTGTAAATATCCGGCTCTTTCTTGGGCTGGATTTACCTTTAAATTTGAAATGAGGTTGTGGAACACAATAGCTATGTATCTAAATGGAAGATGCAGCATTGCTTGACTTGCTGATGGATGAGATATGGTTTAGAGGTAGAGATAAAATTTGCTTTTAAGGTGGCATGAAGTCTGAATTTTGAAGGATCCATAAGAGAAAAAATGGGAAACTACTATTAGATCTAGAACTTAGGGGTTGCCAAACCTTAATTGCTGTTAGGGCTGGCTACAGGAAAATATTACTGTAGGTAACAGCTAGTGAGTTTGTAAGGAAAAAATTGGATTAGAGCTAGCAACTGGCTAAAGAGGGAGTTGGGTCTTGTTCATTTTTGGGAACTTGTGAAATTGTGAAGAAAGTTTGGAGGAGGCTGTTTGATCAGAAGCAGGTACAAGGTAAGCCTTGATTACAGCTAGGATTAAGACCATGGACACGCATGGGCCAGTGTGGTCAGTAATATGTGTAAGTCAGAATGAGTCCCAATCTCTCAGACTATTATCCATTCCTGCTTTTCCACATGGGTGGCAATAAAGCTGTAACATGTAGTTCAGGGATAATCAAGAGACTTCAGACAGGCAATTTTTTCCTCTCTTCTTCCAGTTGTGAGCAGGGACATGGGAAAAAGCAGACAAATCCCATCTATTAATGCATGACTCTGTAGCTAACGTCACTGTCACAATTCTGGGTTTTTCAGTAAAGGGACAGTCTGGACACCAGTAAAGGGACACCTGGGCCTTCTGTTGTCAGATGGCATTCACCTTTCTCAGAGAAGGAAGAGGGTCTTTGCTCATAAGTTAGCAGGGCTTATTGATAGAGTTCAAAACTAGACTTGAAGAGAGACTGAGATAATATCAGACTTGCCCCTGAGATGCTGTCAGGTGACATGAAGATTAGATAGATGGGGTGCTAGTGAGGGCTCTCAGCCTGCTGCTCTGAGATTCTTTGGGTCTCCTGAAGCACCCTTAAATTCTTACAGAGAGGAGCCAGGGGTTGCGCTAAGTTTCACAAAGAATTGCTCAGGACACTATCCATGAAGAAAATTTGAAACATTATTTGAACAAGGTGCTATTTGCAACAAAGATTAGAGTCCAAAATTTGATAAATATTTTGTATCTTGGTATGTTTTAGATTCCAATAAAACCCTTATAGCTTGGTAATTTTTCTTGAAAGCTAAATATTGTAAGTAATGTTATGTGCAATATTGTAGACATAAGGTGGTATATATGTAAAGTAAATTATGGTCTCTTCAATTCTGGTTTCTTTCTGTCTTTCATTTGCATTTCAGGTAGAGGTGATTCAAAGAACATGTTAAAAACTCAGGGTGTAGAAGATACAAACCAGCACCAGGTATATCTTTACAAAGAAATCTGATTAGATCATAAATTGTTAAGAGTTTGCTGACAGTCTTCAGTAAACTAAAGCAGATGACTGTTTCTGAAGTATGTTTCAATTCCAGCACACAATGTACTAGATATGTCCAGCAAGGACTGATAGTGATAGTCTCAGTGTTTAAGTTCATCCTTACTAGTACTTGGGATAAGGTACAGCCTCATAAGGATGCAAAACAGAGGCAGGTGTCTCATGGATGGTGGTTCGTGCTGTTTTTGCAAGTGCTGCAGAGGTAATTACAGGAAGCGTGGTACGTCAGTGCCTGTTTTTACTTGCAGAAACCTTACTGAAACTGCCATTTTTTGCCTGGCTTGAAGCAGTAGGATAGTTATGTCTTGCCTCTGTAGACTACGTTGTGCTGGGTTTTGAGAGAAAAGGGTTGGGAATACACTGTCTTGCACAGGGATTGCACAACTGTGCTGTGAGGTCTCAGCAGGATGAGGGAGCTGGTGCGTCTTGTGAAGACAAGACACTGTGATCAGTCACTTGGGTCAGTGTTTGCATATAGTGCAACAGCTTTTACCATTAAGAGCTGCATTTTCTCTCTTTGTTTTCTTCCTTTTAACAATGATAACAGATAATGTCTGAAATGTAGGATGTAGATACATCTTTTGGAGCTTTTGAAGTTTTATGTGGTGATGATAACTGTCCTTGTTACTCACAGTTATGCAGTCTATGCATCCTTTGAAATGTTACTGTATAACATCATCCATGGTATATAGTCTTAGATTACGCTTTAAAACATAAAGTGATTGAGAAGGATGGTGCTGTAAACATTCAATTATGTAAACCTATTACTGTAGATTTGTAACTGGTCATTTCAGTAGTTGTGTCAAATGTTGCAGTGTGTGTTCTGATTCTGTCTCCAGATATAAAGTAATCAGAAGGATAATGCTAGATAGTCACTGGCCTTTGGCCCAGCTTGAGATTACCATGAGTTAATTCTGTGAGGTTTTGATGTGTTATTTACCCTTCTTTATAATTTTCTAGAATAATTGCAGACAGGCTTTCAGAAATGTGAAACTAGAGCTCTGGTTTCTGACCACAGAAGCAAGGCAGTTTTAAAGACAGGTCATTAATTCACACTAATTCAATTTTCAAAAATAAATAAGAGTTTAAAGCACTTCAGCAATATTTTTGTTGTATTTTGCCCATGAATTTTTACATTATTATACACGTTAGTTCCTCAATTTCTTGGTACTTCAAAAAAGCAGCACAGAGGAAATTGATTAATTTCATAACAGCACAGTTTTCTTTTAGTATATAATAAAGGAATTTATCAGAAAATGAAGTTAATTATATGGCCTGTTTTGGAAATAGAATCAAATGCAAGTGTACTTCAACATGATAATACTGGAGCATCAAAGGAAATTTTGCCTAAACATGAAAAAAGCAGAAAAACAAATTTGGTGGAAAACACAGTAATAAGGTTCTTAGGAACTTTTCTCTGAAGGCAGAAAAATTAAAAAATAAAACAAGAAGATCAAAAAAGGCTATTCTTATCGCAGAGGCTACAACGAAGAGTAAAACTTTTTCAGAAGTATTTATTATTCAGAAATAACATCTCATGTCATACGGACTCAAGTATAGTTCCTCTTACAATCCAAAGAACTGTACGGAAAGCATATTTTTCTCATGATGGACCTAATGAAATGGGCCAGACTATTGCTGAGTCTGTTCATAATTGCCGCATCCCTACAACTTAATGTTGTAGGGAAACTGAGCTATCAGGTGGTATTGCAAGAGGAGTGTGATTCAGTAATGGTACAGTGAAAATTCATTTGCAGAGTAAAAGGGCAGCACTACTGGAAGCTGAGCAACTTCTTTGTAAAAGGGAGGAGATCACCGTTTTGTGTTATCTCACATCCATGGTTTGTGGAGACAAAGTGTGTGCATAACATTCTCAGACTGTTTGGTGGAAAATCTCAGCCCTTCAGAGACGGGGCAACTGAGAGGAGTTTTAAAAGATTTAATTCCATTATCGGTCTTGTAGAAGGGTGAGACAAGAGATGTAAGACTGTATGCCATTCTGTCAGAAGCTAACCTATTTCCTGGTTACAATACCTTATAAATGCTTTTCAGCATATTGGCTTTTGCCACACAATGCTGCTAATATTTCTAACACAAATCACCTATTATTTTACCCCACGTGTTGTTGCTGCAATGCATCTTTCATAGTTCTAATTCTCCAAAATATCTGGCCTTTCTGCAAGGCCGTTGTTTGAAACTTGTTTCTAATTCAATCTCTCTTGACAATGTCATCTCTATTCCATGGCCTTTCTAAGTCATCACACCTTATCTCAGAGTTTGCATATAGATGTACAAGACTGTGTGATCTTTCAGTCAGGTTTTGAGAATCCTTTACAAATCCATTTCTCACAACTGTCTAAGAGCACTTGATTCTCAGTCAATACCGATTTGCTTTGACTTCTTCTCACAATGTGTCTGTTTCAAAGTTACAACAGGATGTAACAGGGATCAACACAGTCTCATGCGGAGTAACAGTAGTAGTTTGAGTGACAGCAGTCTACATACGGATATGAGAGCACCTTCAGAATGATTTTTTGCAAAACTTGACAAATCAAGTATAATCTGATGTTAATGGAAATAAAACTAATGGACCAGCCCTGAGTTTCAAACTCTCTTTGCCTTTGTTTTGATAGACTTCCTTACAGACAGAGGAGTCAGAACCAGCATGTGCAAATGCTCAGGAGACAAGCCAAAAAGCAAAGGCAGCCTCATATTCCAGAAGCAGCAATAAGAAGCTTTCATCTAATCAATCACTATTGAGTCAAGCATCAGAACAGCAAACATCTAAGTCAGGTGAAGAGTTAATACTTTATAAACCAGTGGAGGTTTTTTTTTTTCCAAATGTACATGAGGAAATGTGTACATTTTTGAGATGTGTGAGGGAAGGTTTGACAAGAAATATATAACAAATATATGTTGAGCAAATACTCTAGTGAATACCTAAATAGTTCCAGAAATATGTGTGCTCCATTTTACAGAATGCACATTTTGTTTATGTTACATTCATCAGTCTTTCAGCATTGTGGTTGAGGGGATGCAGGATCATAAGTGAGAACTTCAAGCTTATCCTTACTTAAGTATGTTACATAAACAGCAGTTTAAAATAACATTTGATTGATCTTTAGTTAACTGTTTTACATGTCACAGATCAAAGAACAGGGCTCTCCATATATTCGGCACGCAAAGATCAACTTATAAGAACAGGGCTCTCCATATATTTGGCACACAAAGATCAACTTATATTTTATAGAGTATGATAATATATAGAATATAGCCTCATCAGGCACAAATCAGCATGGACTCTGATGGTACTGGTACCTTTGAGTTAGCTATAGTATAGATACAAACCTACTTCCAAGAGAATAAGGATCTAGCATCCTCCGGTAGTTGTATTCTCTTCTGCCTGCACATGCAGTTTTTTGTTTAGCATTTTCATCCCATGTCTAAGATTTGCATTTATCTTGTAGCCTTATGATCACAATAGAGCCCTGCTCCAACTCATCTTAACCTCTAAATATTTTCACTTACAGATTTTTTCATAAAGCTGGCACTCACTGTATGTACTTTGGTTCTTTCTGGAACCAGAGAACCATGGTACTCAAGACTTGCTAAAACCAGAACCTGTAGTTCTGATAGGATCCTTCCCCTCTTAAAAGCTTTTTTGCCTCCTATTTGTGCCATTATGATTTTAAAAAGCTTTGTTTCAAACATGTGTCTTATATTTTGGTCTTCTCTGGGATAGCATATCCCAAGCTACTTTTTTCCTCATAAGAGGTTCTTCAGGTGATATTTTATTTGATAAAATTAATTATTCTCTTCATTACCAGGAGAGTGTTGCCATTTCTGAGGTGGTGCAAGAAAATATAGCCCTTCATACAGCTGAAGGCCTTAGTAAGTTTGGAGTCCAGGACAATGGCATTCAGATTGCTGTAGAAATAAAGTGAAAAATGGGATGATGTTTTCTGACTTGTGAGATTTTCAGATTTTTTGCTCTCCTACACTTTTTTGTCATTAACTGGCCTTTTTATCCCATCTGATTGCTTCTATGTCCCACTGGTCTTCCTTATATTATTCTATTATTGAATAAAAATATTTTCTTCACAAGTGACACAGTGTCACTTACATCTAAAGTCAGTCACTTCCTAGGCTCCCAACATTTCCATTCTGCTTATACAGAAGGAAGGTACAAAGAGCTTGCTTCTTTTCTTATAGTTCAACCTGTGGAAATAATTGCTCATAGACCCATGTGGAGGTATTGAAGGACAATGTCCTTGAAGTTGCTGAGGTATGTCAGCCTAATTCAACCTGATTGCTAGTTACGGTAATCTCTTCATTTTATCTTTGTACTGTGCTGACTGAACTTTGTATTTGCCAAGATCTGGATCTTTCCTTCTCGTGACCCACCTGGCAATGCATCCCACAGTGAACCAGTATTTTGCAAGTCACAAAACAATGTCCCATCATGCTTTTGCAAATGTTTCCTAATAGCCGTGAAGCAAACTGTTGTGCATGACAATTTAACTGGAAAACTTTGCAATTATTTCTGTTCACTTGCAGCCAATATTGCCGAGGTTCATTAGCTTAATGGGCTGTTGTGTGCCCTTTTTTTTCTTCAACGTCTCTAAAAAATTCCTAGGACATTCTCCCATGAGTCAAAAGGGAAGAAAAGGAAGAATCAGAAAGTGGATGATTGCTTTGGGAGTTCAGAAGCATTTAGACAAAAGACAATAGATTATCTTATGGTAAAGTAGGTCTTAGATTGGATGAGTATTTTAATAATGTGATGCCTTTGTGTGCTCTAGAATCTCAAGTTTTTATTTAAAAAAGGGGCTCTTGAGTTTTTCTTGTTGCCAATAGAGTGTAGGCCAAGCAGTGTCAGTGCAAAGAGGGTTGCCTGAATGCTTTCTCACAGGTTTGAACAGCCTACAGTGAGCTCATTTAAAACCGAGATGGGTATATCCTCTCTGTATATCTGTCTCTACTATCACTTCAGTCTGTCTTTCATGTTCTTCCAAATAACCTTGTATGACAAGCTCTGTAGTTTACTTTGAATGAAACATTGGAAAAGCCAATTTTCCAGAAGGTAGGAGGTGCCTGAAGAAAGGCAGGTGTCAAGTACAGAAGATGTTGGATACTAATGGATAATGCTGACTGAAAATATTTTAGAAAAGAGCTTGTTTGATGAGATGAGGAAGATGCAGCAACTAATCATTCATAGGAATAAAAAGGAAAAAAAAAACCCATGGATAAAAGTTGCAGAATGCTCATTGAAAACCATAAGCTTCTGTGTTCCGTGAATAAATTACATATTTTCAAGCAATCAGAGAAAGAATATGGTAAACTCTTAAAAAATATCTGGGAAGTATGATATTGTAATAAAAGGAACAGGAGTTTAAAAAAAATTTAGCATGGATGAAAGAGCTTTGGAGGATTTATATATCCTATCTCTTTGGTACCAGTTTGAAGAGGGGGTTGTCCTTACTCTTTACACATAATAAGTATTTTGTTAATCTCCTTTTTCTGTTGTATCTCTTAGAAATTGGTAGATCTGTTATTGAAGCTTCAGAATTAGAACCTCTTTGATGACCACATGATATCATTGAAGTGAATGTTGTTTGCTTTGTGAAGCAGTAAGAAATAAATCAAGTTTATTTGCAGTTATGGGTCCAGTTGTGCACAGGTTTAAATGAAGATTATCTATGCCACTAAACATTACTCAAAGACTTGTAATCTTCAGAAATTTTTCACATCATAGCTGTAAAAAAACTTTTGTGTATGTATATATATATGTTCATCAAGCTGTATATATATAAACACACATGCATATGCATATCTATATGTAAATCACACACCTATCTTTTTCCTGATGCAGAATTAGGAACTCATAAGGAGTAGTGCAAAAAAAAGTTTCCACATTTTTTAATAGTATTTTACATATTTTTATGTGTGTAGTTTGTATATTTAGCAGCCTGGTAACTTGAAAGCAGTACATGGAGAAACCTAACATATTCTCTACCTCTATACAGTATAAAATGTCAACTTTGTTACCTTTCTTGTGTCTTCATAATTTGTTGTACCCTTGTTGAATCATCTAGATTTTAACTAGAAATTCTTAAGTAGAGAATGTGCTTGTCATCTGACCTGTTGTACAGGACCTACCACAGCACCTTTTAACTTCTTGCTATAGTCAGTTAATGTTATTGAATAATTAAAGCAACAGTGTGACACACATTTACAGTAATTCAATTGAATTATGAAGTTTAATTTTCTGTTTACACCTCAGCATTCTTTGTGAAAAAAAATTCTAATGAACACCCAATATCTATTTAGAATCCACCAGGGAAGAAGCTATAATTGTACATGGAACCTATAAGACAAGACCTGGGAGAAAGACGAAAATTAGGAGAAATGCAAAAGGGGAAACTCAGCTGCATACTGCTGCTAAGAGAGGAGATGTGTCTTTGGTGAAGACTCTGATATCATCTGGAATTTCTGTCAATGAACAGGACTATGCAGGTTTAAAAATTGCTCCCTTACAAGCTTGTTTTATACTACAATTTTACATAATCTGTAGTATAGACATGTTTATATAGTTTGCATCATTTTAATAAAATTACAGATTCTTGGCTTAAAATTTTGAGGAGGAAAGGAAGTCATTAAACAAGCACACCGAATGAGTACATAGCTTTCATGTCAGTATAGAGGTAATGCAGACTATTTCTCAGAGGTGTCTTTTACTCTGCTGAAGAGCATGTTTTCAGAGATGTGTACAGAAGTGAACTTGAAAGTTTGGTGGAGCTTATGTTGTATATGTCCATGTATATGTGGAGCATATGTATATGTATATGCATGTGTGAAGCACATTCAGACAGGTCTTATTTCCCTGCAAAATACGAAAAAAAACAGATGACAAGATAGTTTTCCTTTTTCCTACCTTTCCTATATAAATATATAGCATGTTTCTGTTTTCGTAGTCTTAAAATGGATACTATTATATACTATCCAGCAGACTTGATATTATAAAATGCTACTGGTATTAGAAATCAGATTATTAATATTGTGCTCCCAAGTTTTTAGAGTTTTTCTACTCCAGTGTTTTGTTTCTTCTATTATTTTTCTACTGCTGTAGAAAAGAAAGCACTGTTTTTCTGCTTAATATTGGATGAACTTTTCTTTGAAGTAAACTGAATTGCACACAAAATCAGTTATCTTGGCCTTTCCTGATGATTATTTGTGTAAGATTTATCTTAAATGCAGCAAAATGTAGAGTTACTAATTAGTGACGTTTGTGGAACTTTCCAGATCAGATGCATATTGTTTTATCTTGCTTTTATTAGGTTGGACAGCGATTCATGAAGCCTCTAATGGAGGATTTGCTGATGTGATCTTAGAATTACTGAAAGCAGGTGCTGATGTTAACAGCAGAAGTTTCTGTGGTGTTTTACCAATACATGATGCTGTTTCTGGCAATTATTTGGAGGTATATTTTTCTTTTATGTAAGATTTCCTAACACAAATTTCCAGCAGAGGGTGAGCAAAACAAAATCCCCATTTCATTAAAGTTACAAACACAATTTTAGTGTAGGTTTGCATTTAGTAAATAAACCAGTATTCTTTAAAGTAATAAAAGTTAGAGAAAAATATTCTTCAATAGTGACAGTTGAAATTGTACGGTTAATTAACTTCTTTAATACAACAGACAAATCATAAAAATTCAGAAATTCCCTGTGGTTCTTTGTCAGGTTTGGGCTTCTTAAAAACAGTATTAGAGTTGAAGATTCTCAATTTATTGATAGTTCAGTGCTACTGCAGATGAGAGTGATGTACTTCGCACTTAAGAGAGAAGAATTAATTTGTTTTAGTGATATAAAACAGTGAGTTAACAAAGTTCTCTGATAAATGTGACAGTTGTTTAACACAATTCTATTGTTTACTGCATAGAGAACAGGGTTGCAATTGTAGGGAGGGACCTTCTGTTGAGTCATGGTATTCAGAAAAGACCCCCTTGCTTTCTAAACTCCTTCTCAGGTGGCTAGATCCAGACTTCATTCCAGAATCAGTCAGCAGTCAGCAGTTTATGTTCACAATCAATCCTTTCTATCACTTAAGATTTCAAAGTTTAGCATCAGTTACGGAGAATCTGTTGTGACAGGAATTTCTCTGCGTCGAGGAGTAATGCTGAGATGTGTCCCTACTCAAAGGGAGGTCCTGGTGTGCAGCCCATTACTGTGTGAGAGAGCTCAAGGGGCCCTGGCCTGTGCACTGTTTATGAAGTAAAGTGATTGACTTATGGTCATATTTGCATACCAATAAGATGCCTGGGTCACTGTTGACAGTGCCCTTTGTCCCCTGCAAAGTCTGGAGTAGGCTGGATGCATGTATCAGCCACCGGTGGTTGTGGCTTAAGCAGGAGAGGAGAGTAGCACATAGCCATAACGGCCCCTGTCATCGATGGGACATTTTTTCACTAGCTTAGCTTGCCCAAAGCCCTGTCCTACCGAACTTCAAACATTTCTTGAGATGGGGTAACCACAACTTCTGTGGACAGTCTGTTTCAGTATCTCACTACCTTCATTGTAAAAAACCTATTTTTGTAAAGAACAGATTCTGAGCTTGTTGTTTAAAAATAAACTATTTTTTATTAACTGGTCCCTTCCAACCCAAACCATTCTGTGGTTCTGTAAACAGACTGTTTTGGTTAAAATGAACCTACAGTGATCATCTAGTCCAACTGCCAGATCTCTTCGGAGCCAATCAGAATTTAAATCATATTAACAATTATCAAAATGTTCCTTAAACATTGACAGGCTTGGGACATTGACCACCTCTCTAGCAAACTCCTCTAGCACAGCTTAGACCCATTACCACTCATCTGTCTCTGGATCCCAGGGGGAGAAGATGGGTATCTCCCTCCCCGTTTCCATGCTCAGGAAGGTGTAGAGAGCAGTGAGGCTACTAAGTCTCCTTTTGTCCAAACTAGACAAGCCGAAAGTCTTTAGTGGCTCCTCACAGAACATGTCTCTCAGCAACTTTCGCCAGCTTTGTTGCCCTCCTCTGGACACATTCAAGGACCTTCACATTCTTCTTCACTTGAGGTGCCTAGCACTGCACAGAAATAACTAAAATCTTCTTTTGACAGAGTGAGTTCTGGGGAGCTGAAGTGTAAAGGTGACACCAAATAGACTCAAACATACTTCTTCTACTTCTGTCAGGACAATTCATGTTTCATCACATTTATCTTTTTCTGTGAGCAAGGTTAAAACAAAGGGGATGATTTCACGGGCTTGGAGCCAAACTATCAGTAGGGTTCTTGCAAAGGTATAAGTGTATTATTCAGTACTTTGGGGCAAAACCAACAGAGAACATCCTAAACTTTGAGGCAGCATTCTGTTTTAATGCATTTTCCTACTTAACTGCACTCTAAGTGTAAGAAAAAGAAGAAATGCTAAAGCTGAGAAGTCATTTGTATGAAAATTCCTTCACCATCCAAGGTCTGACCTCATCAGTACTTTCATATGATCTGAATTTAGGGGGTAGATGATTCCACTGATGCCACTAATCTGATTTCCACATTTTGCGATTAAGCAAACTTACAAGTTTTTTGGAATTAGGAAAAAAAATATCAGTCCATGAAACCAAAACCAATGTTAAAGGAAGAAATGCACTTCTATTCTGCACTTTGATCTTAATGCAATTGACAAGCTCCTTTTAATTTAGATACGTGGTGTTTTGTAATTGATCTGTATAACCATAAAATCGCAAAAATTATTACTGTAAAAATTACGTGTTTTTTGAAAATTTGTGAGTTGTTTGTGTATTTTAATGGAAAAATGTAAGATAGAAATATGTGTTGATAATAGCCAATTATTTGTTTTATTTAATTTGGATTGCAAGTATAATGATTGTAGAGCATCTTATATACTCTTTAGAGTATCTAGAGAACCTGTATCATTTGTTATGTATGTTAGATGTAACACATGTAGTTGTATAATATGTCCACAACAAGAATTACCACCGTACAAATAACAAAAATGCATAATAGGCAGCCAGGATTCTGCTGCAGCATGGAGCAAATCCCAATGAGAGGGATGGTTCAGGAGAAAGTGCTTTGAATAAGGCTTGTGATGCAGAAATGAAAGAACTGTTGAAGTCGTATGGTGCTATGGACTCTGTACTTCCTGTTCAAACTGTTGCAGTTACTGGTATGTTAGTTTTGTAATATAAATCATAGTATATGTGTAATGTATATCATAGTATAACCCTGTAGTCTTAGAGAAAAATCGTACATTCAAGTAATATGACGCTGATACTTTTAATTCTGTTAACTATTGAATGCTATTTATTTAAGAAAATAGCATGTGTGGATAGGTTTTGTTTTTTCTGAGAGAATGAGGTAAAAAGAACATATTTGGATATTCAGAGTTTTGTTATTATCCATATTTCTCTTCACAGGAAGAGAAATGAGTAGTTTTGAAAACAGTAGCTTTCATTTCTTTATGCTACTTAAATTTGACCTCTTTTGCATATACAAGATACTTTTCATTAGTTGATCTGCCATTGCATCTTTTTAACCTATATTAGATAATCCTGCCTATGGTGCGCCTTCAAACTAATTTTAAATTTTATTTATTTTTTCTTAATTGTGGAGAGGGGAAATCAAAACGTCATTGTTATGACTGCTATAAAAATGATGATGCAGCTTTGGAGACACAACATGAGAAATACAGTGTGGTAAGTATAGATTACAGTTTTGTTAAACTACTCTGTGGTGTACAACTGCATAGTGACATATGCTGACTGGAAAATATATAAATATAATTTAAATAAAAAATGCATTGAAATGTATGTAAAAACAGCATCATGCAGAGAGTTATAGTAGATAAGTTGTGGTTTACAGATATGAATATGTTTATTATCACCTCTCTCTATTCATAATTCCTGTGTATTTAAATTTATTGTGGAAATGGTAGTCAATACTGGCACACATTTCTTATTGCTTATAATAATAGAAAAAAATGTCATGAGATCTGAAGCTTTTAATCAAATTTCCAGAATGGTTCTTTTTGAAACAGTAATGAATTGTCATCATGATGATGAAGACATTTAGATACTGTTTATGTTAACACAGAACAACAAGAAAGGTTTTTGCACTAATTTTTAGCTTTTCCTGGTGTCTGTAACCTATGTCTACATTGTCTACATGATGCTGTCATGGTGAAATTCACTGTCCAATCTTTGCTGTGCACTCAGAGGTTTCTAGAGGACTCTGAGCATGGACTAGTTTGAATGCCACAGCAAACCCAGACTGTGACAGCCACTTGAAGAGCATGTTCTTGGCACTATGTACGTCTGTTCTACCAGTGCCCTGTTGCCTTTACACAGTAATCCCCCACCTGGAATTACTTGAGTCCACCTAAATTGCAGGCCATGTGTCATGGCCTGTTTTGTATGGTGCACTTGGCTCTACTTCTTATGGTAATTTCTGTGTTTGTTAGCAGGAGTCTGTTGCCGCCATACAGGATACAGAAAAGAAGCAGGAAGAACTGTTGCTGTTTGAGTTGAGAACTTTGAAAGATGCAGGTAGACATAAATTGAAGTGTTTCACCTATTTTTGGTGGGTAAATATCTTTGGCAATATAACTGTTTTTTAAAACATTATTGCACATAGTATATTTGAATCTCCTCTGGAAAACAGAGCTTCAGAGAATAAGATTTTAATAACACTTATCAGGTGTGGGCACTTCCCAAAGTACTTTCTGTTGCACAGGAATGAATATTATGACAGAAAAGGAAGGCATGTCACTTGGAGGCATGTGTCTCAAGTCAACCTAATTATATAAAAAGGGATCATTAGGTAAGAATGCATACTTCTGGCAGCATTATTCAATTATGAGCACATGAGCCCCTGCATGATCAAGAACAGCTATGTCTGTAGGTAAAGTAGCAGATGCAGCATTTTCATTATGGTGTGGCTAAACTTCCAGGAGCCTAAAGTAATTTATGAGAGGAAAAAAGAGGATTCTTTACAGCAGGCAGTGTGAATGATGGGCAGTTTCTGAGATGATGCCCAGAGGTGTAATTTGTCTTAGGCTATCAAATCTCAGTTCAGATTAATCTCAAGAATTTACTAAGTGACAGTGACTTCTCAGGTGATCATGATGCTGCTGCTGTGTAGCTGTTGAAGTCTATTGTATCCATGCCATGATGCTTCAAGAGGCATAGCTTGCTGCCAGAATGCCTTTGACCAAGGTCTCTCTCCCCAGCTGCCCTAGGCAGCATCTGATTATTTGGAGCATCTGATTAGTTAGAGCATCTGATGCTCATGAAACAGTTTTGCTTCTTGACAGAAAGAAAGGGTTTGTTTTAAAATTAATATTCCTAAATACGGGCTGGAGCTTTCAAATGATATTTACAAGTAAATTTATCCCTTTAAAAATAAATGTGAAACATGGAATTATATGGATAGCTTCCAACTCAAATTTACGGGGTATGGACTGTTAGTTAAAATAGGTGTTTTCTTGAAAAGTGTTTGACAAATAGGTAGGTGGTACAACAGACAGACGTCTGTGCACAGGCATCAGTATAATTTCATGAATGAGCAAAATCTATCAGATGTCTCCTTTTCAGGGGTAATCAGACCTCTCTTGTTCAGGGGTATGAGAAAAATTGACATGGTGATCTGTTACCACTACTGACGAAGAATTAGTAATGTAGCACCTCTTAAACTAAGTCAAAGTCATTACTATTGATGAGGCACAAGACTGAAGTGAGACAAAAGAAAGTAGACTAAAATCTCAAGGTATTTCCATGCAGTGAAATCTACTACAAATAAGAGATACAAAATTTCTATTAAACTGCCTTAATAAGAGCAATATTTACATGTTACTAAGTAGGCAAATACTGGTTGGTACTGTGAAGAAGGTTTGGGGAAACATTTTACGAATTCCAATTTAATATTGTAATTTCTAATTTTTCCTGATTGTGTAAAGCTTGTATTGACTTTTAGAGTTTCAGGAATTAGGTTACAATTTTAGCAAATTACCCCAGTGGTATCCACTGGTTGTGACTTCTGGCCCTCAAGTTATATGTCTAAGAGATAGGGTGTATAAAGAAGAATTTATAATTGCTCTTCTTTATCATTTAACTTTATGATATGAGTTAGAAATTATGTAAAACTGGGACTGATATGATTTTACCTTTGTATGCAACTTGAAAAATCTAGGTTCATTAAGCTATTTTGTAGTACTTCAGATGAAAGTTTTAGGCAGCTTGTTAAGATTATGTAACTTCTGCAGGTAGCTTCAGTATAATTGTCATGTTATGTAGCTACTTGCAACACAAAGATCTTGAAGATTTTCATGGCTTATCATCCATAGGGCAGTTCTTTAATTTATTCCTTTTTCTCTTAACAATTTCCTAAACAAGGTACTTGCACTTCAAAATTTTCCAGTACTTCTGATAAATTTTTAAAGTTAAACTTGTATTTAATTATTTCTATAAGAATTTCATTAAAAGTGCTCCAATTGTAAGGAGCTACCAGCATGCATTACAGTTTAAGGTACTGCTCTAGCAGTGTCTTTATACTTTGGCTGTGTATTTGCTACACTAAAAATGCTATTAATGAAATATTTCCTACTTCTTATTGCCATCATAATTTTGATTATTTCAAAATATTGAACAGATGTGTATATCCAAAGGCTGTCTCAGATACAAGGTGCTTTGAATGAAATACTTGCAAACCAGAAGACAGAGAGGGATACCCTTGCTAAAAAATACAGGTAATAGAATACAAGGATTGTATTCATAGAAAGCTATTCTTTGCAGTTGTAGTGATAGAAGTTGTTAGGAGCATATAATGGCATAAAAGTAAATCTATGTGGTTTTCATTCAGATTTTTTGGAAGCATTATCAGTATTGACTTCAGTTACCTCAGTTAAATGAAAGAAGAACTTTAGGATTTAGCTAATGCATACTAATCAGTTGCTGTGCTCACAGTGAGCATTGAAATTAGATAGTGAACAATACAAAATGTGTGGAAAAACACAGAATCACAGAATATGCTGAGTTGGAAGTGATTTACAATGATCACTTAGTCTAGCTCCTGTGCTGCACGGCACTCTCCCATTGTGCCTGAGAGCAATGTCCAAACACAAGAGGCTTGGTGCTGTGACCACTGCCCTGGAGTGCCTGTTCCAGTGCCTAGCTACTCCCTGTGTGAAGAACCTTTTCCTGATATCCAACCTAAACCTTCCCTGACACAAATTGAGGCCATTCCCTTGGGTGCTGTCGCTGGTCACCACAGAGAAGAGATCGGTGCCTGCCCCTCCTCTTCCCCTCACGAGAAGATGTAGACTGCAATGAGGTCTCCCCTCAGCGTCCTCCAGGCTGAACAGACCAGGTGACCTCAGCTGCTCCTCATATGGCTTCCCTTCAAGGCCCTTCACCATCCTCATGGCGCTCCTTTGGACACTCTCTAGCTTTTCATTAGGCTGTTGTGGCACCCAGAACTGTCCCCAGCACTCGAGGTGAGGCTGCCCCAGTGCAGAGCAGGACAGTGCCCTCCCTTGCCTGGCTGATGCCCCCTAGGACATGTCTGACCCTCCTGGCTGCCAGGGCATTGCTGACCATGTTCAACTTGCCATCAGCTTGGACCCCCAGATCCTTTTCCATGTTGCTGCTCTCCAGCCTCTCATTCCCCAGTCTGTCCATACATCCAGGCTTGCCCCATCCCAGGTGCAGAATCCGTCACCTTTCCGTATTGAACTTTACATGATTGGTGATTGCCTAGTCCTCTGATTTTTTGAGGTCCCTCTGCAAGGCCCTCTGTGCTCTCAAGGGAGTCAACAGCTCCTCCCAGTTTTGTATTGTTAGTAAACTTGCCTAGTATCCCTTCCAGTTCTGCATCCAAGTTATTAGTGAAGATGTAAAGACATAGAAGAGTACCAAGCCCTGTGGCAGGTCACCAGCCTGATGTCACCCCATTCACTAGAAGCATCTGAGCCTGACGTGTGAGTCAGTTGCTCACTAATCATGTGATGTGTTTGGACATTTTGTCCAGAAGGATCCTGTGAGAGAGGGTATCAAAAGTTTTACTGAAATCCAAGATTGTATCACCGGGCTTCCCTTGATCAGCTAGGTGGTTTACCATTTTTTAAAAGAAAATTAGGTTCGATAAGCAGGACTTTTCCCTTCATGGAGCCATGCTACCTAAGCAGAAATTAGGAAATGGGGATATTGAGTGATTACATTCATTTTGCAGTATCATGGAGGAAAGTAATAGCAACTCAAGACACTACTTGGAGTGTCCCTGACTCTGATTTGTTTCTTCAGCACTCCTAGATTAGGCGTGTTCAGCCAATGGCCAACGAGAGCCATTTAAAGAAATGGCTTGAAGCAAGCTTGCAGACATTCAATTTTTGTGAGAACAATTAAAATGTCAGCTAGGATTGCTCATCTTAGTGTAAGCATGGACTGTGCGAATTAGCAGCTTCATGACTCTAGCTCTCACAAGGCCCCTTTTTACTTCCTTATGAGAAGGACTCAAGATTGGTCATGTGGTGAGTGCTCACCTAACAGTGTAGCATCCTATTCAACAGATGCTGCTAGGCCAGCTGATGAGGATGTTTCCATTCTTGCTTTTGTGGGCAGGTTTTGGTTGGTCATGTAAAAGCTGCAGTGTAAAGCTTTCAGGTAGTCCCATGGCAAAATAAAAAGGCTGGTTGAGCAAAGAGACTAAATATTTCTGTCACAAGCCATTTTGACAGCTATAAAATGTAAGATACACATATTACATACATAATTTTTTTAAAAAAGGATTTTATGAGGAGTTAGAGTTCAAAATCATCCTTGTGGGCAAAATAGTGACTTATCTGTTTTCTAGTATTGAGATTGAGATTGTGTTCCAGAGTGAAGTGATAAATATTTCTGGGTATTGCAGATATCCTGCAGCTAGTGTAACAGCCATCCATCAGTAGTAATGAGCTATATTCCAAATCACATTATATTTGCTTTTTATTATTTATATAGTCAGCATCTTATTTTTAATTAATTGGCTTATAACTTTTGTCACACAAGCCATAGAAGATCAGGAGGCATCATCACATTTTCCATCTTCCAGTTAGTTGGCACAGAGAGAGATACTACTTACATTGTTCCTTTTCGGTTCTTAAATATAGGTACTAGCATCTTCTGTACTAAGATATATCTTTTACCTGAGAAAAATTAACAGAAAATAAGTATTATATTTGTTAGTGGCTGTAGGTTACTTCGTCATTTTAGTCACACTGTCGTTACCTCTTCAGTTGCATCCTCTTCTGTACTTGTATAGCAATAAAGCAACAAAACTTCCCAGAGCAAAAACTGCTAGAAAAATGTGTGGAAGCCTCACTGGCCTGTGTAAAAGCCCATAGCTGTCATGGATTACTCAGTGATTGACGGTATGCTGATATGTTGCTAGTACATGTATTCCAAGCACATGAGATACCAAGCAGTATCACAGTACAGACAACAATCTGGTCAAGCTGGGTTTTTTCTGTCCTTGTTCTTAGCCATCTAGTCTTAATGTACCTTTGTCCTGATCCCCTCAGCAGCCTCTTTTGAGACTGTGGTGGTGTTACCTGCCATGGTGTTACGGTGTTATGGTGTTACCTGCCATGGCATCTCTGCAGTGGGTCTCCTTAAAAGCAAACCATACTGCAGTTCTGTTTCCCACAACTTATGTTACTTCTCTGTCTTCCCAAAATGGTGCTAGAGTTGTAGTGATGCCACTTGTCTCATGAAGGGGAATTAGGAGAAAATAGTGTTTTGCTGAGTTGATGGCTCTTGTACCAAAGAAAGTGGGGTAAATAATGAATTCCGTTCCAGCAGAATGGAGGTAAAGTCCCCTGGGAAAGGCATCTCACAGGAAGGAGGCTCAGTCTGGGAGCAGGGTCTGATAAAGGTACAGCATTCCCAGATTACACAGGCAACATCCTAAACTGTTCTGTCCTCTTTACTTAAAGGTCATTTGGCATTATTACAGTGGTAGCTTTATGAAATCTTTTGTTGTGTACGCCATAAAAAAATCCTTATAGTATCATCCTTCAGGAACTCATCCTGAACTCATTTCAAAAGGCTCCAAAGTAGACCGTTGAGACATGGGATTCAATGTGCTACTATGATTTGTGGTATTGAAAGAGCATTTGGTGATACTACAGGCAGAGTTTTGATTCTTTGAATTAAAGGTGGTATAGGAGTATAAATCCTGTGAATTAAGGAGTGGTATAGGCAAGGCTATTTCTGAAGTTTTTATGATTAATATTCTAATTCTATGGGATTCCCACCTGCATCTTAATTCTGTATCCTACTATGGGATTCTGCACTTTGTTGTTCATAAACCTGTGATTTGAGCATTAAACTTCATACATGATAAAAATATTGTTCAAATTTTAAGTGTCAGCAGATTTTAAATGTTGAAACATTTTCTTGTTCTTTGTGAGTTATGTCTACTAACCCCTTTAATTTTGTATTTACAGTAACTCCAGTGTCTTTATTTTTTATTTGCTATAGGGCTTCAGTAGAATCATTTAAAAAAGGTGTGCTAAGGAAACAAGTAGTTAACCTTGCTTCTAGGCAAAAGAGCCTGTTGACTGTTGCCCAAAACCAGGAAAAATTAGTGCAGAAATTAAAAAATTACAGAAAAACAAAGCAAATGTTCAATTCATCATCAGAGATGCAAATCTCAAACTTAGTTACTTTTCACGAAAGCGATACAAGACGAAGTTTAACTGCTAATGAAATCATGTGTCCTAATACAGTAACATTTAGTATGGGGCTTGGTGCCAGCAGGCCTAATGGAAACAGAGTAGAAGCACATGTCTCTTTAGAAAATAGATTTTCAGGTCAGGAATGCAGCCAGCATCCACACATCTGCTTGGATGAGACAGGAGCAAATAAAGAAGCAATTACAAGCAAGGAGGCTTCTGATCATGCTTTGGCGTCTGAAAACAGAGTAAGAGAATATGCCTTTGACAGCATGTCAAAGCTGCCAAATGCTGCAGAAGTGATGACATTGCCTTCAGAACCTACTATTTCCACTGCTAAAACAAAGTGCTCACAACAAAAAGACATTGATTGTGTAGCAATTGTAGGACAAAGAAATAGGTCTTTAAATCCCACTTCAATGACCAACACATTAAATATTGTAGAGCCCCAAAGCACTATTGTCAGTAAGAATGTCTATCAGACAACCAGTGACTGCAAGCAGTTTCTTTCACATGAGGATCTGCACAGATATGTGAATAAGAAAGAAGCTTTCCAGAAGCAACAGCAGCCACAGCAAGAAATTTTATTAGTATCTACAAAGAGCTTCTCTAATACCTCGCAGCAAATGGTCTTTCAGAGTAGTGAGAATTCATTTAATGCCAACCTGATGCTTACTAATCTTTCCTCAAATACAGACTCTCCAGCAAATATCAGTGAGAAATCTTCACAGAGTTACAGTAATCAGGAATGGGAACAAAATCAAGTGAGATATGGATGGAAGAGTAAGAAAAAGCATCAGTTGATAGATCTGCTTGAACTGGGAAGGATAAAGCCTGGAGAAAATGTTTTAGAATTCAAACTGCAGGTAATTGTTGAGAAATTATAATAGCAATAATATTAATATTAGTAGATAATGAAAATATCCCACACACTAAAACGGGAAACAGCAGTTCTCATGGTTTCATCTGCATCTTCAGCACTTACTAGTGTATATTTTTATTCATTGGTTATAGATAACTGTTCATGAGTTTAAAAGGAAAATTATATGGATGAAGTCTTCTGTCATCCCATAATTTTAAGACCCAGAATATTGCATAAGTAAAATTTGTGTTTAACTTTGCATTACCAGTTTGCTAATATTTCTTATTGCTAGAACCAGAGTGGAATCTTTGGCTGATCTACATTGATTTTCCTGAAAATCTACGTTATTTTTATACTGGAAGGAGCAGCAATGTAATCGTTGTTATGACTTAATGTCATTCTTGGAAACAATTGTCAAGTCCGTCAAAAAATGTGACATCAAGGATTTTGTAGTTCTGTAATAGACATGAGTACATGCAAAATTTCTTGCTTACATGTTTGCTGATTCTATAAGCACAAAGTATGGTATGAACCATATTTGAAAAAAAAGAGAAACCCCTCTTTTTTAATACAAAAGCATTTCCCTGTCCCTCCAAATAAAGAGCAGAGTTTCACAACAGCTGCTTAGGGGCCTGGCTTAGTATTGAGCATTTGAGGAAATCATTGACTGAATTCGCAGATGTGAGCTAGTGTCATGGTTTAACACTGGCCAAATGCCAGACACACACAAAAGTCACTTACTTGCCCTCCTCTGCCCCAGCTGGGCAGAGGAGAGAGAAAAATTTAATGAGGGCTTCACGAGTTGAAATAAGGACCAGGTGAAAACACTCCAAGGGCAAAACAGGCTCAGCTTAGATGTGCAAAGTGAATTTATTGCTAACAAAATCAGAGGAGGATAGTGAGAAGTAAAAACAAGCCCTTAAAAAACACCTTTTCCCCCCAATCCCTCCTTCCTTCCCACTCACTGACAGCACAGGGAGACAGGGCGTGGGGATTTTGGTCAGTTCATCATCTGAGGTTTTCTTCTGCTGCTCAGGAGAGGAGTCCTTCCCCTGTGAGGCCGTGGGGTCCCTCCCACAGGACACAGTTCTCTGTGAACTTCCCCATTTCAGTCTGATGAGCTGCAGTCCTCCCAAAACTGCTGCAACTGAGTCCCTCCCACAGGCAGGCAGACAGTCCTCCCAAAACTGCTGTGGCGTGGTCACTCTTCCACGGGGTGCAGTCCTCCAAGGACAGGCTGCTCCAGCCTGGAAGCAGGGCCCCCTCTCTCCATGGAGTCTCCCACTGGACCACAGCCTCCTCCAGGCATCCACCCACTCCAGCATGGGCAGCTCCCCCATGGGCTGTGGGTGGATCTCGGCATCCCCCGTGGATCCCCATGGGCTGCAGAGGCACAGCTGCTTCACCCTGCTCTCACCACGGCCTGCAGAGGAATCTCGGCTCCAGTGCCTGGAGCACCTCCTGCCCTCCTTCTCCACTGACCTTGGAGTCTCCGTGTTGTTTCCCTCACACGTTCTCACCTCCTCCTCTTCTCTGGCAAGGAAAAACTGTGTCCACTTTGATTTTCTTCTTGTATATGTTATCACAGAGACATTACCAACATCTCTAACTGGTCCAGCCTTGGCCAGCAGCATGTCCATCGTCAGAGCCACCGGGATTGGTTCTGCCAGACATGGTGGAAGCTTCTGGCAGCTTCTCACAGAACTCACCTCTGTGCCACCCACTCCGCCCCCCCGCCCCCACCACTCCCCCACTACAATAAACCAGGCTGTGCAAAACCAATGCAGCTAGTTAATTTCCAGGGCAGCATATTGATAAAAGTATGAAAAGTTCTTTTCGGCCAACTCACCGGTTTGGTTATGTAGAAAGAACTCCTTTTCCTACACCTATAATCTCAGGAATGCTTTTCTGCTGAGAGCTGCCATTTTGTGTGGTCTTATGTTCTGGAACATAGGGTAGTATAAGTCACAAGGGTGTGCATCAGGCCATAGGATTGATACGGAGACATGCTTCTTTTTTTTGAAGAACATGTAATATTCCTTTGGACTGCAAGATGACTAAGTGGAAGGATGAAAAATTCAGTATTCCTACTGTAAGTTTTCAAGACTTACAGTATTCCTACTGTAAGTTGTCTGTGATAGCAGCTTGATGCACGTAGATCCTAAGGAATTGTAACCCAATGCTGCAAGTACTGGTGTTTGGCATGTAGAAAAGTCAGTGATTTTTACTAGGATGAAAATGACACTAATTTATGTCTTGGAAGACAGTGCTATGGAAATCGAAATTTAGAAGCCAGTGTCTGTTGCATTGCAAAGAGATGATCAGTAAATTTCCCTTCTTTATCATTATAGAGATGTATTTGATAACAGCATACATACAATATACCAACATACAGCTGGTATATAGTCATTACTTAAGATTAGCTTTGGACAGGCAGAATGCAGTTGTTGAATGCTGTAGACCTAAGTTGTGAAACTGTGAACTTATAAACTCAGTTGAGTGCTCATTGAAATATTTGGATTAATTGTCTTAATTTAATTCTTAAAGCAGCCCCAAGCCAGTGGATGTGGTAGGAGATGGTGCAGTATTTTCTGGTGCATCATTCTCTTACTTGGATTGTTTAACCTTATTAATGATAAGTAACCTTACTAAGTTGTAACAGATTTGATCAAGAGCTAATTGTTGCGTTATTTAGCTGTGTTAGTCAACTGAGGCCAATATGACAAAACCATTACTTACTCAGCTATAAACAGCTATAACTTGTGCTTCTGGAGAGGTGTAAATGTTTGCTGAACTGGGCTGTATTAAAGTTATGAAAGAGGCATTAACAATAAGTTCATTTGTACTTAATTTTGCATAAGGTAAGGCTGTTAGGTTCCTCCTAAAACATGTAAGTTATATCCCTTGATAGAAGTGAATTTTTTTGCAAATATGTTTCATGTTTGACTGGTTGCTGAAACTGCACTCTGGATATATGTACCTTGTATAGCAGTTTCTTGTTGCACAGATTTGCCTCATGTGAGTGCCTGAGTTCACTGTTGCACATTAATTTATTCAAAGCCTTGTTATGTGTAAGAAGAACAAAGATACAAATACAGTTCTGACAGACAGTCATAGGGAGATTTGTCCTCTGATTGGCTAAAGCATCTTATTCTGGTGGAACAAATAATCTTATTTTATACAGTTTTTGATAGTGGCATAGATGACTTAACTTTTTTCCAGAGAAAAACAGAATTAGCCACACCTTTTCAGCTATATTGTTATTTGGCATTTTTCATGTTTCAAAGATATTATATTTGTTAATTTATGAATTGAAATTATTCCTTTTTTTTTTTTTTTAGGAATTTAGTCATAAAGCTACACTCTTGAAGAATGGCAAGATCAGAACCAGTAAAGGACAAATACTACAGAATCCAGTTCAGTGGGTTAAAGATCTACTAGGAAGTGATATTTCTGTGACATGGAAGTACGTGTGGAATAAGGTAGGCCTGATGTGATTCCCAAAGTTAGCAATAATGATTGGCTGTAACAAGTTTCACTAATCTAGATCTCCTTACTGTTATTAAAGCAAAAGAGGGTGCTAGCCTGAATTTTAAATATTTTCTCACTTTTAATGAATGAGCAGCAAAGAAAGTGTTGTAGCTACATAGCTGTATAGTGATGAACTCATCATGAATGTTGAAAGAATGTGGAATGCTCACACTGTAAGCTAAAAGAGATTTGAAAGAGTAGCTTTAAAAATTATTAAGACAGATAGAGAAGGCTGAAAGGTAGTTTGAATAAAAAGAAGCAAACTTACTGAAATGTCAGGGAGTCATGCATGACTGTTGTAAAAGCACTGGCAGAGTTTAAAGGGCATTACAGATGGGCTGTATTATGCTTGGGGTTTTTTTTCAATTAGAATTCAAATTAGCATAATTTCTCCTTGATCTTGACAGATGCAGGTTAGGCTTACAAGTGCATAAACTCAATTTTAAAAGAAAAATGAAGTTTCTACACCTATCATAAAAAAAAAAAAACCAACAAAAAATACTAATTAAGACAATCAGTTATCCATGTAGATTTCTTTTTACAGGTTACATATCTTGGGACAGAATTGTCAAAATTTAGTGTTGGTGAAGTGTCAGTTTCCAGTGACCTGGAGTTGCCAACACAGAAAAGAAATCCTTTAGGTACGTACTACTTAAAATCCAATGTTGTTCATAACTGAAAGCAGCAGAAGGTGATTTCTAAAGAACTTAAAGCCCAAAATTCCTCTATTGCTTTCTGATTTTTTTTCTGGGGTGTATGGTTATCTCTGATCTTGATAGTGAAATGTAAATAGTGCCAGAACTTGTACATAAAGTCTCAAAAAGTACACTTCTTCCATAAATTTGTTGTGTGAAGGGAATAGTTACTAATTATTTGGTTGCTATCTTAAAAAAAAAAAAAAAAAAAGTAACACTTTTTGTTAGAATATTTACTATAAAGTGAAGTTTCAAGTAAGCTGTTTTAATATTTTTTATTCTATTGCCTAAGCAACACTAATAATTAGGGGGATACTTAATTCTCTAGAAATAGGTAGTCAAAAGAAACAAAGTGCATTGATATGACAAAATGACACTGAACAATTTTTTCAGAACTGCTTATCAAACTTAAGAACTTCAGAACTTCTAATATTGATAAGCAATGTATTGTCAGGGATACACAAGTCCTTTTGGCAGCCAGTTGTACTTGGAATCCATAAAGCTTTTGGGCTTTTGGGATTGGTTCTGTTAATTTGATAAGACACTGCACTTCATGTGAGCTGGGATTTCAGTTTTTAACATACTGAAAGTAAATTTAAAGATAATAGTTCAAAAGAACTAACTTGATATTCAAATTACTGTGTTCTGCTGGTATTTGCTACAGGCTAAGTGCTTCCAGATGATGAGTTTATTTTTCCTTGCTTCAGTAACTTCAGTTTATACCAGGTGTAAGTGACTTAGATCTCGATTTAGTTTCCAAACTTTTGATAGGCCTTTGAAAATTTCACTAGTTCTTCTGAATTATTTGTATTGTAAAAAATTTATTATAAACGTTGTAACTTCTAGAACAGAGAAATTTATTTATTCAAAAACTATTCTTGACAACAAAAAGTCAGTCTGAAGATCAGCAAGCATTTTTCCCAAGCAGTCCAGGTCATCTGGAAAAGAGTATTTAAGGAAGTTTTTTTTGTGATATGTGATTTAAGATGACAGTAGCCACTGCCTAACCCATTAGTCTTAGGTGAGAAGTTGATGGAGGGAAAGTCAAAGTGTTCTCTGTTTCAGTTCCACTTCAGATACTACATGGCCAGATATGTAGGACATTAACAGTGCCTTAAATTGTTTCAGAAGATAATTAATCTGCACTGTTGTTTTGTGAGTACAGTTCTGGTCATTGGACAACCCTCAAATGGTTTCCAAGCTCAGTTCATGAGTTAGCTTGTTCCAAGTGCTTTTTCCAACAGATACTTTGCCTGCAGCCAGCTTGCTCAAAAGCAGAGGAAAGTTTGCTGGTGTGGATGTGAACTATTCTGTACTGCTTGCCTGGAGATATTCCCAGGCACTCTTTTATCTTTCTAATATGCTTAGGGCCTCTGTGTATTATATAGTAGAAGTTGTTTCTGCTTTTCAGAGAACCAAACTTATTTTTTTCTTTCCGTATTAATGATTTTTTTTCCATGTGTCCCAGAGCACTATTAAAAAAGAAGACTGGGACCTGGGAATTTGAGCAGTTTTGGACGAGTATTATTTTTAATGCCCGTCACTCATTCCCCTTGTAGCTTCCCATACCTTGGCCCAGTGTTCATTGAGCTACTGTGAGAAGAGCTTGGAGAAGTGGGAAGAAAATTATATATGCGGCCTATATATACCTAGCCATCTTGTAATAGAAAGAAGCAGCTACCAATGAAGCAGCTACCTGTTTGTACAGCCCAGTTTAGGAAGCGTGTCCTAGGAACCTCTACCAAATCAAGGCCCCTTGGCAAGAAGAGAAGGAGCTGTGGTTCTGTGGTGGCTAACATAAGAAATGATCCAGTTTTTTAGCTTGGTTGAGATTTATAAGGTGCTTCAGTGTTTATATAGCATCAGACTTCTAGCTACTTAGGGGTGTTAGTACAAAAAACTAGAAGAGCCCATGAAGTAAAGCAGTCCCAGACCAATGCAGGTATTTAATAGATGCAGTAGAGATTGCAATTTCAGAATTGGTCATCTAAATACTAAGTAAATTTCAGTGTACGTAGCTTCTTTGAGTCTGAGTCTTCAGTCTCTCCTAGGATCATGCTAGCAGATAGTAAGATTTAGTGTATTCAAGCCTGAGTGAAAAGTAAACAAAAGTGGTTAAGCAAATGAGCAGTACTTTTAGACTGTCTGTATGCAGGAAAACAGAAGAAACGATTATATGGCTTAGAATTTCTCTGTGCTTTCTGATACTTGTCATAATATTTGTTAAAAATGACCAAGAATAACAAGGATTCAGAAGCAGATGTCAGCTGAAGAACAGATTTGAGTTGTAGAGCAAATGTTGGTGTTAAGTATTTCACATTGAAATTCTGGCAAAGTGGCTTAAAAGAAAAGTTTATTCAGTTGTTACAGTAAGTGTGATGTGCACATTCATTTTGTAGATTGCTATTTCAGGAAGACAGTCTTTGGAAAACAACATGACTAGTCCAATTCTTGTGCTCAAGCAATTCCTTGCTGCCTTTAATAACCATTAGCCACCTGTAAAGATTAAAACAGCTCTTGTTCACCTATAGTTCATGAAAGGACCCAAAGTTGTATGGAAGAAGAGTGTTTTCAAGGGAATCCAAATGATTTCTTAATGGCTGAACCATAAGCTGATTTGAAAGGTTTATGTTAGTGTTATTTCACGTATGGAGTATTAAATTTTAAACTGAATTCAGAAGGAATGCTTGAAAGCAAGTGAGAAAGCTGTGCTATGATAGTACGTGATATGGTATGTTTCTGTTTTCCTTGAGGCAAGCAATGAAACACATACATTTAGTAAGCTACTTTTCAAGTTAGTTTTGCAATGTCTGTTGTAATTTTGCCAAGGAAGATACAGATTTTTTTTAAAAACCCAAAAAACGAGCCTCAGTCATCTTACAGCAGCAGCTATTGGGTTGGTAAAGGAGCAAAGGAAAATTTGCCCTTGCGTGTGTTAGGTGATATAAGGCTAAGTGAAAATACAAAGTAACAAATTAGGAAAAATAAAAAGCATAACTTCTCTGTGCATTAAACCATCAGTGTTAAGTGATACTTCTTGTTCTTTGAACAAAAGTATCTTTTCATGCTTTTAGGAAAGAATTTTATCACAAGGAACCACCAGCACTATCAGAATCCTGGTAATGGCTCCGCTGCTCAGCCTCCTGGGAGCTTTGACCTGAGTAATATGCAGCCAAACATGACATCACTGCCACAAACACAAGTTTGTGTGAGAGAGCTGTGTGCTGAAGGAGAAGCAGCTGTTGCCAGGGAATTTATGAGTAAGTGTTTTTTTAGCAGTCTAGAAAACCTAATGGTGGATGCAAGGGCCATACAAGAGATATGAAAGGAAAAAGAAAAGTAGGTGGCATGGAATTGATTTGTGTGTGGGAGGGAAAGAGTGCTGGGGAAACATTATTATACTCCTGAGGGTTTAGATTGATCTAAATGACCCAATAGCAGCATTTTTCAGAGCTCAATATGCTCAGCTCTCCTGTGTCCAAATTAGAAACATTTTGCTATTTTGGTGTAGTTAACAAGATAACTTCATATCATTTTGAGTGCTCAATTAAATGTCTCAAAAAATAATAGTATGGAGAAATGTCTTCTGGATTTAGATGGAGAAATATGATACATAAGCATTTCTAAATAATCTTGTGTAATCCAATTGAAAGGGTAGTGTGGAAATGCTTCTGAAGATGCTCTGACCTTTGTGTAGTTGACCAAGCTTGTAACTTTGTGTTTTCAATATTACATTTTTACATTGATTGCACATTAAACCCTATCTGTAATACTTGTATGATTTGAACAGTGCCTATTGCACTTCATTTGGTATTTTTGCCTCTACTGCCTGTGATTACAGTACGGAGGGATGACCCTGACTCACCACGGTGCAAAGTTAGAGTGATCAGCTCAAACCTCAGTGCCAGATAATACTGCACTGCCAAGGATACCAGCACTGAGCCAGGTCTGATGTGGGAGGCAGTAAGACAGAAAACTGAAGTGAATCTAGGCTTTGTTGGTCATTGTAAACTAAAAGTGCATCCACATTTTAAAGCAATTCTTAATGCTTCTGTACACAGGCCCTACAGCTACCTTGCAAAGAATTAAGCTGAAAAACCTCTGGAGAAAATATTGGTTTTTGGGGTTTTTTTGTTTTTCTGTTTTTTTTTTTTTTTTTTTTTTTGGGTTTTTTTTTGGTGGGGGGGTTGTTTGTTTGGTTGGTTGGTTGGTTGATTTTTAATAGAAGCAAACAGGCTTAGTATCTTAAATGGCAGGGCAGAGTATTTGGAGGAAGGTGGTCTTTAAAGTTACAAAAAATAGATGGTGTAGTAGATTGCTAGGTTTATTTATATCAAAAATCCCAGATTGAACTGCTCTTTGATATTACTTGAAAAGTAACAAAGACTATGGTTTATAGAAGTTATGTATCTCTGCTGAACAAATGAACAGCCGCATTGACATTTTCTCAAATATGCCTACTATTTGTGTTCTGCTTGCCAAAATAATGGTCTTGTAGCGTATATGGTCATTGTCACCCTACCATCTAGGTGCTCAGTCCTGAATGGAAACAGTTACAGCAAGAGTGCTGAGTTACAGTGTAGCAAAAGTAACCATTAACAGACAGAGGAGGTAATGCAAAATTAAAGACACATGTTATAATAAAAATTAATAAGCTGTAAATGTGTTCCATATATAACTTTTTGTTCATACCTACTATAATTACTCTGTCAATTGAAGGAAAAAGCTGCTGAACATGCAGTATAATACATAAAAATTTATCCACCCTCTCAGTTTTGACATCTCTGCCTTGTGGATCTCAAATCTTTTGTGTGAAGGTCTGAGTGAAAGCTTCTCAAGTTTCACAGTCTGACCAAATTTATTAAAATAAACTGTAAAAAGCAAACTCCTATTTCAGAAGGAGGTTTCTTTGCAAGCATCTCAGGATGAGTGCTTCAATAAGTCTCTTAAATTAAATTTTGTAAGCACTATGAGAAGGCCCGCAACCCATAGATGGATTTACTGCATTGGTTTGCCCTCTAGTTCTGTTTCCAAAGAATTAGGCACCCACACAATGCCACCACTGTTTTACTTTGTGCTAAATAAAATATGAAGGTAAAGCTCAGCTGCATAAGTTGGCTTTAAACTAGTTTACTTTGTGGACTTTACTAGTCCTGGAAAATGATAGAAGGGTAATTAATTTCAGTTTTCTTGATAGTCAGTTGTCCTGTCTTGTACACCAGTACAAAGTTGTGATGCTGAAATGGCTGACTTAACAGGAGAGCATTTAAATCCACGCAAATCATTCCAGTTAAATGAAACTTAGCTCTTATATGTGTCAGTACCTAAACAAGTATAAAATCAAGCTACCAAATAACACTGCAGGTGCATATTTGCAACAGTCTTCCATTATACATTAAATTGTAAACTTTTCAGGACAGGGATCTCATATGCATGTTTGAACCATTGAAGATACTTTGTAACATAATCCAAACAACAAATCTAGCCCATTACAAAATAATGTATTTTGTGCTGTACTGTACTCCACATCAGAACCCTGGGTTCTGGTTAAGCTCAGACAGTTATGTCAGAAACTATTTTCACTAGAAAACTTTACTATTCTCTTCTTTGTGTTTTTGAAGGAAAGCAGGAAAAGATGATGAGTAACATTAGTGGCTGAAAAGTCAAGATGTAAACTGAGAACCCCAAGTTTATTATTTCTAACAAAAATAGCATGACTTAAGGAAGTTGATTCTGTATATCTGAATTTTTTGGACTGGGTATTACTGAGGTAGTAGCTTACCATACTATTAATAACGGCAGCAGTGATGTGAAAGAGAAGTACTTGAAATATATAAAAACCCCCAGTGAACAAACCATATACAAACAAAAACCAAAACCCTGACATCTTATATGTATTTTTTCTTCCTTACCTATAGTAGAATATTCATCAACTACACTATGTCCCCATTTATGTGACTCTAAGAGACTCTAAAAGGAGATGAACTATATATTCTTTGTATTTTGTACTTGGGAAGAAAAGTGAGATTGTAGACAAAAATGTCTATCCATTATATTTTTCCATCTCAGGGGTATTTCAAGGTGCAACTATTACACTGTTCTCTCTTCTTTATGGCTTACAGACAAAATACTTGAAAGTACTTTTCAGTACTGTAAAGTTCCAGGCATTTGCTTTACGTGCTTACATGCTTTACAAAGAAGTGCACAGTTCTGTCTGCAGAATTTACAAAGCAGTATTTTCCAGTAACTACATACCTTGGCTAAGGTATAGGCTTCCTTCATCTTGCTTTCCAAAATCCTCTACCTGCTGTTATTTGACTGTCAGCAGGGTAGGAGGTAGTATGTCACATGATTGATTCAGACTTGAGCTGAAGTTTGAATCTGAATGTGGCTAGCAAGAGACAAACAAAAATAACTTTTCAGAGGGCCAAAAATTGTGGGTAGGCAGAGGGGGCTGGGAGAAGAAACAACTATCAGGGACTGCATGCCATGGAAACCAATTCTAGGGTATCTAATGTCTGTATTTCTTAACTGTAAGCCAGATTTTTCTGAAATTGGAAAATTACTTCAGAAGAAACCAGATGATACTGTGATTGCACAGAATCATAGGCTAACGTAGGTTCAGTGCGACCTTCGGAGATCTTCAGTCCAACCTTCTGTTCAAAGTAGGATGAGTTTCCAAATCAGATAAGGTTTCTTGATGCCTTGTCCAGGCAAATTCTGCATATTTTCAGGGATGGGTATTCCTGTGCTTAACCATGCACAGGATGAATTTTTCCCCAATATCAAGTTGGAAACTTGTTTGTTAAAACTTTTGTCCCTTTTTTTGGATACAGAAACTATGTTCTTCTAAGAAGACCAGCTTCTTAGCTGGACTACTTAAAACTGACTCCTAGTTGAGTGCTTTGAACATTAGTTTTCTGGACTTTTTACTTTGTGAAACAAGTGGAAAAAGCATCCTTTGATAACAGACCCATCTTCTTAATCAGCTGCACTATAGCATTTTCTACTGCTTTGGTGGTCCTGTGGAGACTGAGAGAAGATTGAGACAAACAGAACTGTTGTAGATTATCTTCCTGAAACACGTCTTTTCTTGTCTTACTTATGAAAGCAATAAATGCAAGGCAGTGTGAGACATATCAGCCTTAAGAACCTCAAGAGGCACTGGCTTCTGCTGCTTTGCTTTAGACAGACAAGACAGACTATTTTGACCTCACATTGGTATATGAAGTGAAAATATTTATATTACCTGATGATTTTATCTTGAAAAGTGTTCAAATTTTATCACTTTTTTATCTGGTTGGTGTTTTTTTTCAGGAATCGCTTTTAACTAAGTTACGACAAAGCTTTTAAACAAAACAATTCAGTTTTTCAAACACCGTGTGATAATAGTGTAGGAGAAGGCTCTAGAAGTTGTTCTGAGGTTGTACATAAAACTCAAAAAACAGCCACTATAGATTTTACCAGTGCATGAAAAACAGGAGCTGTTGGTTTTTCAAAGGGCTTTTCTGACCTGAACTGAAACTTGATTTATAACTAGTCTTCTGCTTCTTCCAACCTGCATTTCAGTCTGCTATAAACTGCAAGAATTTTAAAGTGTTCTGGTTTTAATGACCCAGTTTTGGAGCTGGAATTTTTTTATGCACTATCTTGGCACATTAATATCAGGTTTTCTAAAATAGTTAGAAATTATTTTAGAGAACCATTTTCCTTTCAAATGAATATACAAGTTAATCATTATATAATCAAGCGTACAACAACAACATAATAGTTTAGAAAGAAAGAATCATATGCTGGGAACCTCCACCCTCGTAGTCATACCAAGAAATTGTCTCCTACAATTATTTTTAAAGCAATCTTTGGGTCTTTTAATAATGGATACTAGTATATACTATTGTTGATGTTGAGTTCAAAATCATTGATGTTTAAATACAGTGATGGACTTAATTGAGAAACTGAAAGGTCATCTGGATAGCTGTGTAAAAATATTTTTTAATAGAAAATATATTTTTAATAAGAAAAATGGAACCAGCCATTTTGTTTTATTTTAGAAGTACTTATTTTATTTTATTTTATTTATTTATAAATTCAGTCTTGAAGATAGATTCTTTTTTGAGAGGATGTGCACAGTTCTTGGTTAGTATTGGCATGTATGTCAATTATACTTCTCTCACCTTTTGGGGAAAAGATAATTTTACATTTGTAGCAAAAAAACAGCTACTAAGATTTAAATTGTCATTTTGTTTCTCTGAGTGACTAT